TACGAAGCTGGGAAATCAAGCAACCAGCCTGCCTCCCTGCTAAGCAATAGTGAACCTGCTGGTGCACGGCCTAGAGTCAAAACGTCCAACTTCCCTTACACCCCTTCCCCTGTCCCCCCGTTAGCAAATGGGAAACAAATCTGAGCATCTCCTGGGAGGTTGACCATAACAAATAAGGGGGGTTTCCTTCTACCATCTCTTTGAAGGCAAATATTTTTATTACTGTTTTGCTTTATTCTGATTAGTGGTACTGCTCTATTCAATATTGTTTTGATAAGTTCTATAATGTTCTATATTTCATTTTATCTTGATATACGTGATTGAAAGAACAACTATTGTAAAGATAATGAAATATACTGTGATACCTATTACTGTTATCCTGGTAACCTGCTGTGAAGTTCTGTACCAATTTCACTATACGATCTTAGTTGGCTTTATTGTCTTGTTCTGTTGTATTTTACTACTTTCAAAATAAAATTAAAAATAGAATAGAGAGTTCAGGGAGAAAGCTTTAAATATATGTGATTAAAAGATTTTCAATAAGAGTCCCAAGATCATTTGATTAGGAAAGAACAGTTTTTCAAATAATGGTGATCAGAAAGCTGAATTTCAACATGCAAAACAAAGAAGGTAAACTGTGTTGTGTTTTGTTTTGTTTTGTTTTGTTTTCTTTGAAAGTCCTGCTCCTTAGCCCAGGCTGGCCTGGAACTCACAGCAAACCTCCTGCATTAGCCTCCCGAGTGATGGGAATACAGGAATGCAACACCATGCTCCACCAGCAGCTCCTGAGATCTGCACCATGTTGGAACTTAGGTCACTGGGAAACCAAGGAAGAAGCTTGCCTCCCTGGTAAGCGGCAGCAGTGTGACAGACTGCGGAAGGTAAAGAAGGTAAATTTTATAATCATATCCTATACACTGCAACATGAGGAACCTTAAAGTCATCACATTAAGTGAAATAAGCCAGGTACAAAAGGACAAATATCATATGAGTCCACTAATATGAAGTTCCCAGAGTTTTCAAATTCATAGCTAAAAACACAAGAATGGTGGCTACGTGGGGGTGGAGAGGAGAATGGGTATGGGTACTTACTGTGTAATGGCTGTGGCATTTCAGTTTGGGAAGGAGAAAAAAATTCTAATGACATATGGCAATGATGATCGCACAAAAATGTGAATGTTGCCGGGCATGGTGGCTCACGCCTGTAATCCCAGCACTCGGGAGGCTGAGGCAGGAGGAACACTGTGAGTGCGAGGCAGCCTGAACTACAGTGAATTTAAAACCAGCCTGTACTACGAAGTGAGACCTTGTCTCAAAAAGAGGGAGAGAGGGAAACTTTCAAAAGATTTACTCTAGGAAATTTTAGGTAACTGCTTCATACTCTGAATGAAATTATACAAGTCTGTACTTTCTGTAAGAGGGTCTAAGACATTACAAGGAAATATAAAAGAAGGGTGGCAGAGGTAGGGAAAAACCAAACAATGAATTAGAAGATGTAAAAAAAAAAAATAGAAAATTAATTAGAAGAACAAAGAGTAAAACAGATAATTTGGAAGCCCTATAAGTATAACAGAAGACATGCTAGAAAAATTACAAAGACTGTGTGCTAAAGAACCAAGAGAAGCTAAAGAGGACCTGACACGTGTGGAGAGGAAAATCCAGTGAACACCTAGTGTTCTGAAAGACAGATCAAAGCACAAGTGGAACAATAGCCATGAAAAAACTATAGGAAGGAATTTTTAAAAAGGGGAAAGGTGGGGGCTGGGGGTTTAGCTCAGCGGCATAAGCGCCTGCCCTGCAAGCAGGCAGTCGTGAGTTCGATCCCTGGTACCGATAAAAACAAAAAAGACCAAAAAAAAAAGGGGGGGGGGGGGGAGGTGACTTAGCAGATGAAAACGGCACACATTATATTCTGGGAAAATTTTAAATTTTCAAAATTGGAAAATAATCACCCATTACTCCCCCATGGCAGTGAGGGGTACTTCTTCAGAGGGGGGAATGTTATAGACAGCTGAGTTAGATGGAATATTACAGGCAGCCAGATAGGGCTGTGCCCTCAAAGGAGGCAGTACAGAAAATCAGGTATCTTACAACTTTGGGGGAGACAGACACTTCCCACTGAGCCATACCTCAACACAAAAGATAATCAAATACACTCATACTCTAAAGATAAACATCAGGGACCTATATTCTAAATAGGTATCGGTCACCTTGAGGAAGCCAACCCCCTACAGGAAAGGCCCAGTTCTGTATTCATGCCCCTTGCTGCCCCATTTACGCCCTATTTAATCAATTTTACCTAAGCAATTACATTCATAATTTTATTGGTTGACCATAGTTATGTCCCACCTCATGTCCACCTTGTGATTTCCCATTTTTCCCCTACTTAGACCTGCCTTACCTTGTAGTTTTGCTCTATAAAAATCCCTAGAAAAGGGGGTCTTTGGAAACCCACTAGGGACCCCTTCTCTCTCTCTTGCACAGGTTTCTCTCTCCCAATAACTATATTTTGCTCTTTAAAAAAATTGAAAAATAAGCTAGTAAAGTTATTAAATTTCTGGGTGTAAGAGACTTAATAGCCACAAGTCCACCAACTCTTGAGCTGGCAGGTCAAATTTCAACTGTCTGTTTTTTTGTTGTTTTTTTTTTTTTTTTTTTTTTTTTTTTTTGGTGCCAGGGATTGAAATCATGACCTTGCGCTTGCCAGGTGGGTGCTTATTCTGATGAGCTAAATCCCTGGCCCTGCCATCTGTCTTTGTAAATAAAGTCTGCTGAACTGCCGAAAAGCCCAACCATTTAAATACAGGCTTTTCTGCAGCAGATCCAGAGTAAGGTCTTCACAATACAGACTCTAGGGCCCACAAAGTCTAACATACTATCTTGCCCTTTACAGAAAGTGCCTGTCATTCCCTATAATAACTATGCAGGGAAAAGATACAGGTTATAGTCACACAAGACAGTAAAACAAGGTTATAGAACTGTGAAGGAAAAAGAATATGACCCAATAATTCTAAAGCAGTTACTGTCTTCAACACGAAGTCCATCGGAAGAGCAGGTGCAGCAGCACAGGTCTGTAACTAAGCTATCTAGGAGGCTGAGGCGGGAAGTTTGTGAGTCAAGCCCAGCCTGGGCAACTGAGGGAGACTCCATCTCAAGATTTACAAAACAGGGAGGAGGTTGGGGATTTAGCTCAGCGGTGCCTGCCTTGCAAGCATGAGGTCATGAGTTCAATCCCCAGTACCAACAAAAAAAAAAAGGCTGGACTCGATCTCAATCTGACTTTTAAAAGAATCACCAAAAAACTGTTATGAAAATTAGTGGAAAATTATGAAAATGTGCTTGCCTCCTTCACGAAGGCATCTATGCTGCTTCTTAATTACTGCATAACCCTTCAAAGAAAATGCACAAGGCGTAATGATTTTCTAAATGTTCTAGTAATGTCCTTATTGTATACATGTTAATAGTAATGAAAAAACAGAAGAAAAATAATGTACAATAAATCAGCAAAACAGTTATAATTACAATATCTACATGCCATGCACCATTAAATTCTGACCAATTTGTTTGTATATCAACTGTCATTTTACCACTTCCTGATAGAAGGATAAAATTAAAGATGTTTTGCTCTTGTGTGTAGATACTCTGCAGTAACGATTCATTGAGTGGGACTTAATTTTGAAATACATTAGTATACACAAATGGTTTTTTTAAGAAAAAAAAAGTCATGTACTCATATAAGTTTAATAAATCTATCATTTTCTTGTAAAAAAAATGGCTGGAGATGTATCTCAGCATGCGGCCCTTGATTCAATCCTCAGTAACACCCACAAAAAAAAAAAAAAGAAAAAGAAAAATTAGATGGATCAATAGATAGACAGGAGACATAAAGCAGCTATGTAACAAAGTAAATATAAGGATGGGGATGTAGATTAGTGGTCCAGTGGTAGAGTACTTGTCCAGCATGTATAAAGTGCTGAGTTCAATCACCAGCACTGAAAGAAAAGAAAAACACACACATACATATACACACAAAAGCAAATGTAGCAAAATGATAACCTGGAGGGAACCTTTACATTTCTTGGTTCAACTTCTCATATATTTGAAACTTTCACATAAAATGCTAAAAGGATAAAAGTAACAAAAGCTATAGATTTAGGAGTATTTCCCTTTCCAACGCTCCCCACTCATCCAGGGTAGCTGTCAGCCATTCTCTCTCTCTTTTCTCTCTCTCTCTCTCTCCCTTTCTCCCTCCCTCCCTCTCTCTCTGTCTCTCCCTCTTTCTCTCTCTCTCCCCACCACCTTCAAATAAATTGTCTTTTTTTAAAAGTTAGATTTATTAGTAATCTTCATAATGTAATCAATGTCAAGGCATTCTAAAGACTGAAGATTCAGACAGGTTCATGTATATGTATTTACTTACTTATTTATTTTGTAGTTGCTTTTGTTTTTGTTTTATGAGACAGAGTCTCACTATGTAGTCCAGACTGGCATTGAACTCACTATATAGCCACGGCTGGTCTCAAACTTGTGGTGATCTCTTGCCTCAGCCTCCCTAACTCTGAGATTACAGAATAATCTAGGGCCTCACACTGAGCTACATCTCCAGCCATATTTTTTGTTTTGTTTTGTTTGTTTTTAATTTGAGATGCGGTCTTGCTAAGTTGCCCAGACTGGGTTTGACTTGCAAACTTCCCACCTCAGCCTCTTAGGAAGCTTAGATTACAGACCTGTGCTACTGCACCTGCTCTCTCAATATTTATGTGTAAGGGAATGTGCCACCAAACCTAGCCTTCAGAAAGGATTTATACCTGTTCTGTTTTGTTATTTTGATAACTCTCACTATGTAGTCCAACCTGGCCTCTATGTAACTCTGCCTGGCCTTTAACTAAAAATTCTCCTGCTTCAGAATATAAGCACAGAGAATACAGGTATGCAATCCCATGTTCACTTTTTACCTTTATTAACAGGTGTGCACAGAGATGAGAAATGGCCACACTTACCTACAGACTGAGAAGTGAATGCTGCTACAATCTGGGGGCTGGCTAGGGCTTCCAGCCTGTTCTTCAAAGCCTCCAAATGTACACATTTTTCTGAGTAGTCTGGTGTATCAACAAGCATCATTAAGCTGTTCTGCATACCAGTTAGCTTGGCAGAAATCACAGCTATGTCCTAAAAAAGAACAGAGGATATTTATTTAGGAGATTTCTGCTATCTCAATTAGGGATACATAAAATACATAAAAAGAAAACTCACAAAATAAAAAAAAAAAATGGCCCATTACACATGATGTTCAACATTACTAATAAATAAATGCAAATTAAAACAGGGAAACACCATTTTCTTTTATTGAATTGGGAAAGCATTTGAAACATTATAATAGTCCTAATTAGTAAAGATGCAAAGAAAAAAGATCTGTCTGGTATTATACACTGTCACACTGCAAGATAATTTGGCACCACTTTGTGGCAGGCGTGGTGGCACACACCTTTAGTCCCAGCACTCAGGAGGCAGAGGTAAGAGGATCACCAAGAGTTTGAGACCAGCCTGGGGTACAAAATGAATTCAAAACCAGCCTGAATTACATAATGAACACTATCTCAAAAGCAAAACAAAACAAAACAAAACAAAACAAAAACACAGAGTCTTACAAATATTTATATCCTTTAACTTAGTTATTTTCTTTTCTAGAAATTGGTCTTAAAGAAATAATCAGAAGGAGCTGGGTATGTCAGCACATATCAATCATCCCAGATCTCTGGGAGGCTGAGACAAGAGGATCCCAAATTCAATCTCAGCTTAAACAACTTACTACTAAGGTAAGACTCTGTCTCAAAAACAAAAATTGTTGGAGATGGAGTTCAGTTTGAATATGTTAGGTTCAACTCTGAGTAACAAAAAAAAGGAAGAAGAAAAATAATCAGAGGGACATAGAGACACTGATGTACTACTAATGTGATTTTAATGGTAAAATAAAAACCTGGAAGCAACATAATCTTCCATAACAAATAAAATATAAAATTATGGGATACTCATAATGATATGCAGAATACTGTGCAGCCGCTAGAAATTATTTTGGCTTTTTTGTAATACATATAAAATACATAAGTACAAATGTATATTGATATTTGCACACATACAAAATACAAACATAAGTGCAAACACAAAAAATACCTAGTAGGCTTAAAAAGTATATTACTAGAGCCTAGAAACAGGATGATTTTGTATTTTTCCTATTTTTTTTTCCTTGAGACACAGTATCATTATGTAGCTCAGGCTGGTCTTAAACTCACTATAGAGCCCAGCCTGTCTTTGAACTCATGGCAGTCCTCTTGACTCAGCCTCCTGAGTGCTGGGATTACAAATGTGTACCACCACACCCGGCTAAATTTTCTAAATGTTTCAAATCTCCTAAGGCATATATAATTATGTTTACAGCTATAAAAATAAAGAAGTAAGACAGTAACAACCATGCTCACTTCAGTATTTAATGGATATCTATGCTGTGTCAGACACTGCATTAGATATGAGACTCAAAGATACATAAGGTAACACTGACAAAGATGAATTCATAATACATTGGAAAAGATTCTGCACAATTTCAGAAAAATGGCAGGAGTATTACAGAAGTATTATAGTTTTCCCTATGAGAAGTAAGGAGCCAGCTGGGAGAGCTTTGAAAGAGGATAACACTATGGTTGTACTTGGAAGGGCAAATTGAGGTCTACTCTACTGCAAAGAAAGAAAGCGTGGTGGTGCATGCCTGCAGTTTCAGTACTGGAGAGGCTGAAGCAAGAGGATTACCCCAAGTTCAAGGGTGGCCTGGGATATATAGTGAGTTCAAGGCCAGGCTAACTACACAGTAAGACCCTGTCTCAAAAACACAAAACAAAACAAAACAAACAAATGAAATGGAAAAGAGGGAGTAGTTAAGGACATCTGAGGTTTTTGGCCTAAATTTTTTTTCTGTCTTTTTGAGACAGGGTCTCACCACAGTTCAGGCTGGACTTGGGCTCCTGGTGTAGTCCAGGCTAGTCTCTAATTTGCAAACAGTTCTCCTGCCTCAGCCTCTCAAGTGCTGGAATTACAGGAGTGTACCACCACGCCAGGCTGTGGCCTAAATTCTTAGATGGAAACTGACTCCATAATAGGGAGCACAGGAAACAGTAAATAGTTGATGATTTTGAAAATAAAAAATTTAGGGCCAGGGATTTAGCTCAGTAGCTCAAGTACTTGCCTGGTAGGCACAGGTCGTAAATTCCATCCCTGGTACCAAATAAATAAATAAAATAAAAAATAAAAAGTTCAGTTTTTGATCTAGGTACAATGACATATGCTTGTAATCCCACCTCCTGGGAGGCTAAAGCAGGAGGATCACAAATTCAGGGCCTGCTTGCGCAACTTAGCAAGTACTTGTCTCAAAAAACTAAAATGGGTTGGGAATGAAGCTCAGTGTATAGCACTTGCTTAACACATGCAAGGCCACACGTTTAATGCCCAGTACCAAAAAGAAAACATCTTCAGGTTTTGGGTTGTCTGGAGGAATCAAGCTGCATATATAAGGTTGTGCCTATCAAAATAGCAACAGCAAATGGGGAAAAAGACCTATAATTTTCAGCTAATTAACATTAGTAGTTTATAATTATCAAAATCAAAGACTACATTTAAATTTATTTTTTTCCATACCTCTGTTCCAGAAACACAATATGATTAGATCCATGAGGCCTGAAGCACCCCAAGACTGAAATAGAATGGGAGGGAGCCCGGCTCCACTGTACTGAAGAGACAATGGTAATTGAGAAATAATAATATCCTGCTACTATGGGGGGAATAGGGATATCTGGAAAGACAGGTGTAGGACAGAAACTAGGGAGCAGAGGGCCAGGTTTATAATGTATTTTACTTTACAACCTAAAAAGGTTTTCCTAAGAGATCACCTTCCTTTCCCTTTCCAACAGGCTTCAAACTGTTTTCCATGCTTTGCAGCCTCACGAGAGTTAATAACTTGCCAAGATTCCACAGTGTGTAAGGCGCAGGAAGCCATGTTCCAACCTCTCAGTAACCAATACCCTTTCGCCCCCACATCTTCACCATCTGTGCAGTTTGCTGTGGCTCCTTCTGAATCACTCTAGGTTTGAGTCAAGCAGAGGGGACAAACTAATGGAGCTGTAAGCAGTAAAAGTGCTACAGATTCGGATCTTCCCACTGGAAACTGTTTCTGCGTGTCAGCTCTATCCAAACCCACGTTTCTGCCTCAATGAGTTTCACAACATCCCCTAAATAAGAAACCTACTTGAAGCTGGGCAGGGTGGTGCACCTCTCTATTCCCAGCACTCAGGAGGCAGAGGCAGTAAAATCACTGCAAGTTCCAGGCCAGCCTGGGGCTCATAGTGAGTTCAAGGCCAGGCTGGACCATACTGTGAGACCTTGTCTCAAAAACCAACAAAGAAGCCGGGGATGGTGGTGCACTCCTGTAACCCCAGCATTCGGGAGGCTGAGGCAGGTGGATTGTTGCAAGTTCAAGACCAGCCTGGGCTACAAAGTGAGCCCAAGGTCAGCCTGAACTGCATAGTGAGACCCCAGCTCAAAAAAAAACAAGAAAGAAAGCAGGAAAGCAACAAAGCACGGAACCCACTTGAGTCTTAAATGTCTCCTCAATATCAGCACTCAGTGTGCTCCATTTGTCTGCTTCCTGAAGGGATTCAGCAGCAAGCTGCATTCTGGACTTGACCTGGTCGATTTCAACCAATACCTGAAAGAGAAATGAGTGGCAAAAAAATGAAATGACAGTTCCCTTTTCTCTATGTTTCACCAGTGACTTGAAAGTCTCACGGTATACCGCTGTCTTCAGGGAGCTGCTCATCCCCAAAAACCAGTCGCCTGATTAATTTTGCTCAGTAGGCACTTAAGAGATGACTAAGATGAAGGAACCAAGGAAAAAGGTTTTCTGAATTCTGGGTAGAATTCTGTGTTCAAACTAGACACAGTGGAAGACGCCTATAATTGTAGCTACTTGAGAGGCTGAGGCAGGAAAATCACAAGTTTGGGGCTTTTTGTTTTTGTTTATGCTTCTGCAGTACTGGGAATTGGCCCCAGAGCCTTTGCAATGAGGCATATCTCCAGTCTTTTTTATACTTTTTTTTGAGACCGAGTATCCATAAGTTCCCCAGGTAGGACTCAAATGTTTGATCCTTCTGCCTCAGCCTCCCACAGTGCTGGGATTACAGTTGTGTGCTACCATGTCCACCTATGTTTGAGTCCAACATGGGTATTTAGCATGACCCTGTCTCAAAGTATAATTAAAAAAAGAAAAGGTAGGGAAGCTGAGGCAGGAGGACCATATTTGAGACTAGACTGAGATACAGAAACCTGTTTCAAAAACAACAATGAAAGCAGGGGTGGAGTAGTTCAGTGCTAGAGTGCTTGCCCAACACGCGTGAAGCCATGGGTTCGACTTCCAGCGCTGCAAATAGAAAGTCTGAGTTCAAGTTAGCCTCCCACAACACTGAGCTGTTCTCAGCCCTCTGGAAGAGTGAATGCTTGCCAAAAACCAGAACTAACATTTAGGATAGAAGCTGAAATACCTGCATTGATTGTGACGTGTCCTGTTCAAATTTTTTAATGTCCTCTTTGACAAGAATCATTTGTTCCTTCAGAAAAGATGCCTCCTGTTTAAGGGCTTCGATATCACGGAGCACTTTGGGCATGTTCTGCAAGGCCTGGTGGCTTGTTTCTGCAGTGAAAAACCAAGGGCAGCCACATGCATAAAGGGCAAAAATCAGACCAGTCACCAGGGAGAAGTATGAAACAAACAAGACAGAAGAAAGACGTCCTAATATATTACTGACCACACAGTGCTCAGAGCGGGAAGAACAAATGGGACAGGAAGGGGAATGGGGACTGCCCAGAGTCAGGCTCTTCCAGGTGGATGACAGAAGCCTACAGGCTTTAACTGCCTCAGCCTGCTTTTGCACCACTCAGTTAAATCATGAGGATGAACGAACAGAGTATATGCCAACTACTGCAGAAGAGGCCTTAGCGTGTATTTTAGCACTTATTGTGCACAGTGATCATGAGCAGCCATCTCTTTCCAGTAAGAAAACAGGCTCAGAGAAGTTGAGTCACTTGCCCAAGATTTCACAGAACAGAAATCAAGACTCATATACATCTGGCCCCCATGATATTGGGGGGTTTTTCTTTTTCCTTCTTTTTATGTTCTTTTATTTTGTTGGGCTTTTTCTAGGTGATTTTTATGCTAACCCTAATGCTTTTAGGAACATGTCCATAATGGTGACATCTCCCCACAATTCAAAAGGCTCCCACCAATTTTCAAATATTTCTGAGGGAAGAGGGGTTCTCAGTTCAGTTTGTTAATATATATAAAGCACTTAAGTGCCTGACATACATCAAGCCCTCAAATATCTGTTATTATATTCTTCCTACTCTCATTCTCACTTTGTGTGTGTGTGTGTGTGTGCATGCACACGTGCATGCATGCACCATATAAAGTTTCTTTTAAGGCCAAACAGAGGAAGCCCTTTGTGATTCTCGCAGACCTGAGGGAGCTGCACCTTCTCCCAGCTTACAGGGATCCAGATTCCACTTTCTTCTCGAAGCCATCTTGCACTGTAATCTGTTTACCTATCTTCCTCACAGACAGCAAGCTGCAAAATTTTCCTCAGTATCCACATCCTAATACTCCATACATAGTAAAAGTCGCAATGTACAACAAACATTCTGCATTGAGAGAACTACCTTTCTGTCCCCATTCTTAAACAATGGGCATATCTATAAAACAAAGTTCTATTTACACAGTCATTGGCTTCCGGTGGGAGTATTTGTTCTAACAATGCCTAGCAGAAGGGCTGGCATGCAGTATTTACTGGATCAACTTATAGTCAAGTAATTATATGAAATGTTTTTGATTAACTATCCTTCAAAAATGGTTAGTCTATTCAACCCAATTCATCTTCCTCACGTAACATGAAGATTTATTAAAATGTTTCTCAGGCTTGGTCATTTCTATACACTTTTAATATGTTTTTGCCAAATATAAAGACCAGTTGACTATTATGTAATACTTTCAAAAATGCTCCTTGCTGGGAGCAATGTTGCACATCTGTAATTTCAGCACCTTGGGAAACTGAGGCAGGAAGATTCCCAGTTCAATCCCAGTCTGGGTACCTTAGGGACTTAGCCAGAGATTCTGTCCCAAATTATAAAGAGCTGGAGATATACTTCTGGGGATGTGAAGGTTCTGGGTTCACCCTCCAGTAAGGGGGGGGGGTGCCAAAAAGTGCTTCTTGAACGGTATGGTGGTGTACCTACCCCTGTAATCATATACTTTCAAGGCTGAGGGAGGAGGATCGCAGAGTCTGAGGTCTGTTTGGGCTACATATTGAATTCAAAGCCACCTTGTCTCAAAAAACGACAAAAAATTCTTTTAACTTCAGTTTTAGAAGAAAATGTTATGACGCTATCAGAGAAGGCAAACTTAAGACAGCCCAGCAACCAGCTGAGATTGTTGTACTTGAAGCAGTCACATCGACAGCTGGGCTCGCCTTCTCAACAAACCTAGTACTAACATTTACTATCTAATTCTTGCGCCTCCGGGTGTCTCAGGCCCAGTTCCCGGATCTCTTAAAGGGGAGCGCAGGGGAGGGTCCCACGGTCAGGTACCCGGCGGCTCACCCTCCACGGCGTGGTTCACTTCCTGGATGAACAGCTGCAACTTCATCACCAACGTGGCTGCGTGGCCGTCAGCCTTCCCGGCCGCAGCCTCCTTGGAACCGGCCCTGAAAGCTGAATTAATCCACTCTTTCACGTCGAAGTCGTCGGCCAAGAACTTGGAGAAATCCATGGCGGCACGTCCTTAGTCCTTGCGTCCAGGCCGTTAAGAGGTGGTTCCTGGCAGCAATAAGGACACAGAAGCAGGGGACCCTGCTACAGCACGGGGAGACAGCACCACCAACCCTTCGGAGACGGATACTAGCCCCTCTGCAGCCTCTGGGTCTGTTCTTCCTCGCTGCAGGTGGTATGACCCTCGCTGCACGCCGTACTTCTTCCGGAAGTAAGTGGCCGTTACCATAGTGACTATAGCATTGTAGGCGTTCCGGAAAGCTGCTTGTAAAAGCAGCAGTGGGGCAGAGAGCTCGAAACAACCGAGGCTATCCTATTTCTGCTAATACTTGCTGAGCACTAAAGTAGTAGTGCATTTAATCCTCACAGTCGTCACTCTAAAACTGAGGCAGTTAAGCAACTTGTTCATTCACCCCGTTAGAACCCAACACTTAAACAGGATTTGAACTCGGGCCAGCTTGGCCCAGGAGCCTGAACTCTAGGGTAAGCCTACATGACCTACCCTGTAGTCTCATGTTCCCCCTTTCTTTCTTGGAATACCAAGTGGTAAACCACCATTCTTTGCAATACTTTTTTTTTTTTTTTTTTTTGTACCGGGGATAGAACTCGCAACCTAGCACTTGCTAGGCAGGCGTTTATGCTGCTGAGCTAAACCCCCAGCTTAACCCACTATTCTTGTTTCTCTTGCTGTTTTTTCTGGCTTAAATCAGTGTGAGATATCAGAAAGAAGACCGATCCTTTTATTGTAAGAATCAAAATTTTTTTCTAACTCTATGTGTGGTACTTGCGAATAATCCTATTTTTTTCATTTTTACCAGAGGCATACTCTAATTCTAAATGCATACAAACTCTATATAAAACCTAAATCCAGTAAAGTAGGAAAGCTAGTATATTAGCACTGACTTGAACAAATTGACCAAGAGGCTGGGATAGAAGCAGCGCAGTGAGTTCAAGGCTGGCTTGGGCTACATAGTTTAAGACCAGCCTGAACTACACAGTGAGACCCTGTCTCAAAAACACAAAAAAAACAGAAGCCTTAGATTCTTCTACAATATGCCTTGCCTCGGAAAAGTTTAACACTTTTTGTAATTCCTTTTGGGGAGTGTACTGGAAATCAAACTCAGGACTTGTTTGCTAAGCAGGCACTGCGCTGCTGAGTTATATCCCCGGCCACTTTTTGCAATTTTTATGGATAATTTACAGTACAGTTATACACTAAGCATAAGTATACGAAAATGACTTTCGAGAGCCATGTTGTACTATGAATTAGTAATTTGTTCATGTTGATGAATGACTTTGTTGTATAGATATTAACATCTGCTTGTTAGCATATTGTAATAATTTTGTTTATCCCCTTATTCGTTGATGAACATTTATATTATTTCCAGCTTAGGGCAATTATAAATAATGGTGAACTTTTATAGATGTCTTCGTATAAACATGTTTTCATTTTGTATAGGCTTTTTTTTTTTTTCATTTTTTTCAGTGTCCTGTATAGGTTCTTGGAAGTGGAATTGCAGGGTTAGTTGTAAAATTCACACTGCCAAACTTTTCCTGAGTGCTATAACATCTCATAGTACCATCAACAATTGCGTTCCAGTTTCTCTAGTCTCACCAATATTTAATATGTATTGGTAAATCATTAACATTTCTCTAATAACCAGGGATGTTAAACATCTTTCCTATGCTCATCAGTGATTCCTATCTTTTTTGGGAAAATGTCCGTTCAAATCTTTTGCCCATTTTCAAAAGTTGTCTTCGTATTACTGATTTGTCAATTTTCTACATAATCTGGGTATGCCTTTATCACAGATAAAATTTGTAAATGTTTTTGTTTTTTTGGGACATGATCTCACTATGTAGTTGAGGCTGGCCTTAAACTCAAGCCAATCATCCTGCTTCAGCCTTCCAAATGCCAGGACTACAAGCATGCACCACCATGTCCCACCTTAGTAATTTTCTTCCAGATGGTAGCTTTTTTAAGTTTTTCTGTTGTGGTCTGATTTGAGATGCAAACGTTTTCAGTGAAGTCTATTATCATCTTTTTTATGGATCATGCTTTGGGTAATGCAACTAGCGATCTTTGCCTAACTCAAAATTATGAGGAATTTCTAAGTTTTCTGTTGTAGAAATTTTAAATTTTATGCGAATTTGAAGTGTTTTATATGTATCATGTAAGTCTAAAACTTGTTTTGGTGGTGCCTTTGTTTTGACATAATTTTTGTCTTTTTGAGACAGGGTCTCGCTATGCAGTTCAGGCTGGCCTTGAGCTCACTTGGTAGCCTAGGTTGGTCTCAAACTTGTAATGATCCTCCTGCCTCAGCCTCCCAAGTGCTGGGATTAAAAGCATGAGCCACCACACCTGGCTGACATAATTTTTTATGTAAATAAATTCATTTCAGGATTATGTGTTGAAAATTTTCCACTGAATTGCTTTCACATTTTTGTCAAAAATCAACTGACCTGGAGGCTGGGGATTTAGCTCAGTGGCATAAGCGCCTGCCTTGCAAGCAGGCAGTTGTGAGTTTGATCCCTGGTACCAATAAAAACGAAAAAGACCAAAAGAGAAAAAGAAAAAAAAATCAACTGACCTGATTGTTTCATTTATTTATATGCCTATTTTGCTAATATCAAACTGTCCCTATTCAGTAGTTTAAATTTTGAAACCTGTTAGGCTTGATTTTAAAATACTTGATTTTAAAAATTGTTTTGCACCAGGTGTGGTGTCACACCCCTGCAACACTAGCACTCAGGAGGCTGAGGCAGGATTGCTGTGAATGAGGCCGGCCTGAGATACACAGTGAGATTGTCTCAAAAATGAAAACAAAATAGGAATTGATTTGTTATTCCAGGCCTTTTACATTTCCATCTTAGAATAACTTACTGGTTTCTACAAAAAGTCCTGCTGGATTTTGCTTTTAAAAAAGACTATCTTGAATTTATAAATCAATTTGAGAATTGCCATCTTTTTTTTTTTTTTTTACAGTGATAATCATCAGTTTTGCCATCTTCACAGTATTGAATTTTGCCAGGTCCTGCATCCCTGTAATCCCAAGAGGCAAGACAATCACACTCAGTTTGAGGCCAGCCTGGGTTACCTAGTGTGTTCAAACTAGCCAGGATTACATAGCAAGACTCTGTCACATAAAAACAAAATACCAAACAAAATCACATATATATTGAATCTTAAAAATCCGTAACATGAAATGCTTCTCCATTCACTTAGATTGGGATTTTTCAGCATTAGCACCATTGACATTTGATTTTTTGTTGTAGGGCTCTCCTATGCATTTTAAGGTACTTATTAGCCACTGTTGGCCTCTATCCACCAGTTACCAGCAGTGACACCTCCCACAATATGACAATCAAAAACATTTCCATATACATCCAAGTAGTCCTTTGTAGAAATAATCACCCTTGGTTGAGAACTTTGGATTTATCTGTTTATAATTTTCATTGTAATGTCTTTTAACACTTCTGTAAATACTCAATTCCTGTATTGTTATAGAAACACTATAGTCATTTTTGTATATTTATCTGGTACCCTTTGACCATACTAAATTTATTGTTCCATTATTTTATTTGCTAGTATAACTTCTCTGGGATATATTTACATACAGGAGCATGTCATTTATAAATAGACATTCCTTTTCCTTTCCAATGTAATTTTTTTTTTGGTCTTCTCCCAACTGAATTGGTTAGAAACTTCAGTACTGTGTTGGACTGGAAAAAAAGACATCCTTAGCTGGAATGGTGGCCTATGCCTATAACACCAACATTATAGCCAAAGTATCTTGAATTCAAGCCTAGGCCATGCGATTTAGCGAGATCTCTCAGAATTAAAAAGGGCTAGGGATATACTTCAGTGCAAAGGCTATGGGTTCAATGTCTAGTATTAGGAGAAAAAAAAGACATCTCTGCTTCATTCAAAATCTTGAGCATTGGTCTTTAGCAATTAAGACTACTGTACACTAACTGTAGACTTCTCACAGAGAAATTAAGGACATTCCCCTTCAAATGTTAGATTTGTAACTGTGCCTGAGATAACCATGTAGTTTTTGTGCTTTATTCTATTCATATAGTAATTGATTTTAACCTCGCCTTACATTCCTAGGCTACATTCTTCTTGGTCATATATTTAATTTGCTTTAGTGTATGCAGTGTGTGCTGGAGATGGGTCTTGCACATGATAGACAAGTGCTGGCAATTTATAGGCTTGTGCCATCATGTCCAGCTGCTAACATTTTGATGAGGATTGTATTTGAGATATTTGTACAATTTGTTTTTGTGATATCTTTGATTTTGGTATAAGACTAACAATAGTCTCATCAAGTGACTTGGGATGTTATCCTCCCCTATTTTCTGAGTTTGTAAATGAATTGTATTACATACAAAAAGCCTATTAAGGTTTTCCACTTCTTCAATCAGTTGGAATTTGGGTCTAAAATATTTACCATTTAAGTTAAAGTTTTGGTATTAAATTGTATAAATTTCTGCAGGTGGTAGTAGCATCCTCTTCTTTCCTGGCTTTGATAATTTGTCTGTCCTTAGTCTAGCTCAGGTTTTCGCATCAAGAACCAGTTTCATGAAAACAATTTGTCCATGAACTGCGGTTGGGAGACATGGCTCAGAACTGAAGTGCATTACGAGTTTGTTTTCCTGTAACTAGACATTGAAGGTTGCTGTCATTGCAGAAAACCCTGCTCCAGAAAAACAAACCGTTGAAAATGGAAGGCTTTTCTGTACTTTTGTGGAAATTTTAGGAGATCCCAAGTTGACTTTCATCCAGAAGAGATTTGAAGTTGTCTCAAACATACCTTTAAGACCACTACTTCTTGCTAGTAATCGATCCTCTGCTAGCACAGACAAATTAGTTCACCTTATTCATAAATGAGTTCCAGACCCATCCCTTTCCAGTTTGAAGGTGGGGAGTCTTTTATGATTTGGGAAGTAAAGTTCACTCTTGAAAACTAAGTGGGATCCCACTCATGCATCCCACTCTGACAAAGGTGACTGTGACTATTAAAAGTTGTTTTAGGTAGGTGTGGTGGTGCATACCTGTAATTCCAACACTTACGGGCTGAAATAGGATTGCCCTTAGTTCCCAGACAGCATGAGCTACAGAATGAATTCAAGGTCAGCCTGAACTACACAGCAAGACCATGCCTTAAAATAAATAAATAAATAAAAACCTCTTCTGTTTGAAACATGTCAGAAATTCCAGTAGTCATTCATCACCCTATTTCCAGTTTGGCTATGAATGCAGCCACTTTGAACACAATTGTAATCTTCCCCTGCAGTGACTAGGTTCACTGAGCAAGATGAGTGTGTCACATGAGTAAGCAAGTTTTATGACCCATTTTGTGTCACTGAAATGTGCTGCCAGTGGTGACTTTTTCTAAAAGAAATCTCTGTATCAGCTCTTATAACTCAAAAACTCTGGCCAGTGATGTAACTTTAAGAAAGCCATCTCACTTCTCTCTATAATACATTGCTCTGCATCCATCTCTTCAGAGAGCTATGCAAACAGGTAAGCTACGGGCATGTACTTTAATGTGGATACTGTAATCACATCCTGCAAAACATTAAGTTCAGGTGACATTTTTTGGCTAGACAGCATTTCTCTATGGAGGACAGTGCAGACTCACTCAGAAGCAACCTTTGTCCTGAGTAGTGAAACCAGAAAGCTGTCCAGTCACAGCAGCCATACTAGCCATGCATACACTGAAACAAAAGACCAATTAAGTTTTCCTAATAGGTTGCAGCTAGTGTTGGCAACAGAAGTGCACACAACATAATCCTCATGCACATCATAGTGAAACGCTACACAATAAGCACTGTTGCCTTGTCAACATCAGCAGACTTATCAACCTGGATTGTGTACCATGGCAATTTACTAATCCTAACAATGTCATCTGTTTCTTTGGTTTTTTTTTTTTTTTTAACAATAGTGCCACAAATTCAAATGTCATCTGTTTCATTATTTCATCTAGTTAGGACGCTAGCCAAAAGAACAACACATGGTACCTTATGAATCCCAGCCTGTCCTAAAAGTTTGCAAATGTCCCCAACAGGATCAACTTTTGTCCAATAGTGAAGGGCTTCTTAGCTTCAGCAATGCAGTTAGCCAGTAAAAATGATATTCTCAGTACTGACACATCTGATAAAGTGGTCTTCAATAACTGCTTTTGTTCTTTGTGGTCATATTTTCTTCTTTTGAAAAACTCCTAAGGCTCATCCTTTGGTGCAGGGTGCTTGGTCTCCATGTAGCAAATTAACTTTGAACATTTCATGGCTTCACTGGCTAGCTGTTCACCATACATTATACCAAATGTACTTGGGAGAATATGAACATTGCAGTGAACCTGTAAGGACTCACATTTTCTCTTAAATGTACTTTCCCTTTGTTGGCAGTTTTAGTCTTCCACTAGGTCTTGCCTTCTTTCAAAAGAAACTCTCCAGAGATGTTAGGTTTCTATTCATTTCGGTTAGAATTAGCTTATAGGCTTACCAAAACTGTGACTGAAACAAGTGTATACTATGTATGGGAAAGAGGTGATAAACATAATTGAAGTACATTATGTCACCTGCCTCTATATAGCTTGCCACCAAGTGCAACTCAGTTGTCACTGGCTACTCACCAGTAAGGTTTTGATGTCTGCAAGTAACAGATTATGGTCACCACTTACTGAAGTCTGTGCTAATGTTAACCTGTATTTGCACCTGCCACCCAATGCTAGCATCACCAACTCAGCTCCACCTCAGATCATCATAAGCAAACAAGCAACCTAGAGCCCTCAAGTGCACACTTCACAGCAGGCTTTGCATGCCTGTGAGAATCTAACACCACTGCTGATTGGACAGAAGAGCTCAGGTGGTATGTGAGGAATGGAGAGAGGCTATAAGTCAATTTTCACTGGCTAGCCTGACAGATGACCACCTGCTATTCAGCCGGGCTTCTAACAGGAAAGAGAACTGGAAGGAGTGGCTCCCTAGTCTAGCTGACACTCATAATTTCATTAATCACTTCAGAGAACCATGTTTTCCTTTACGTTTTTTTGAAAAATTTTTCCCAGAGGCAAGATTTTCATATGTAGATTGGATTAGCTTCAAACTCTGGGCAATCTTCCTGCCTCAGCCTCCTTGAATGCTAGGATTACCAGTGTGTACAACTACACCCAGATTTTGTCAATGATTTTTCACTGATCAGTTTCTTCTGTTTTCTTAAGCTTATTCTTGTCTAGTATATTAAAGTGGAATCTTAGGTTACTGATCTGAATTTTTTTCTAACACAACCATTTAAAATTATTAATATTCTCAAATTTTGATGCATTTTCATTTGATTCAAAATAATTTGTCTGGGCATGGTGTGACATACCAATAATACCAATACTTGGGGGGGGGGGCTGAGGCAGGAGGATCATCACAAGTTCAAGGCCAACCTAGACTACATAGTGAGTTCAAGACCAGCATGAACTACATAGCAAAATCCTGTCTGAAAAAAAAAATTTTTTTTCTAATTACATTTGTGACTTAATCCATGAATTGTAGGAAGAAACAAGAAAAAAAGAAAAAAACCCAAGGGGAAAAAATGGAAACAATGCTTTTGTAAATGAGTAGAAAAAAGGCTGAAGGAAAGGAAATGGGGAAAAAAAGCAGCGAAAGAGGTATCATTTATCAGTATAAATTCCCTATGATAAATGTTATCATGTATATCTAAAATGTACAAACAAAAAATCCAGTATTTCTCAGATTTCTAATTTCAACCCATGTGGTTATAAAATAAACTGTCCTGGGTGTGGTGGTGCACACTTGTAATCCCATACTCGGGAGGCTGAGGCAAGATTGCTATAAATTCAAGGTCAGCCTGGGCTGCACAGTGAGACCCTGTCTCAAAAACAAAAAAAGTGAAATGAAACAAAACACCTTCCCCCTACAACAAAAAACAAACAAAAAACCGAAAACTTTATGATCTAAATAAACTTTTACATGTGATTAAACTATGTCCTTAACTTTGTTCTGTTCTGGAAAATATTTCATGTGCACCAAAAAACAACAACAACAAAGAGCACTGGGCCGGGAATATAGCTCAGCAATATAAGCCTCTGCCTGGCAAGCACAGGGTCCTGAGTTTGATTCCTGATACAAAAAAAAAAAAGAGTCCCTTTAGTCATGGGTAAACTCAGTGACTGGTGGTGTCTAACTACTTTATATCCTTGTTGACTTTCTAATTCTTCTACCAATCTTTGAAAATAGGGTATCAAAATTGCAACTCTGTTAACTAGTCCACTTTGCTTCAGGTATTTGGGGCTGATTTTTATATTTTGCAATATATTAACATAATACACAATAAATGTACCTTCATCTCTAGCATATTAGACGTTCATTTTGTCAGGGGTTGGGGATTTAGCTCAGCGGCATAAGTACCTGCCTTGCAAGCAGGCAGTCATGAGTTCGATCCCCGGTACTGATAAAAATAAAAAAGACCAAAAAAAAAAAAAAAAAAAGTTCATTTTGTCTGATATTAGTAGATCTACTTCAAGGTTTTTCCTTTCCAGTACTGAGGATTAAACTCAAGATCCTTCCACTGAACAGCTCCAGCCCCTTTTGTTTTAAAGACAGGATTTTTGCTAAGTTACTAAATTAGTAAGGCTGGCCTTCAACATGCTGCCTCAGCCTCCAGGAGCACTGGGATTACAAGTGAGGTTGGATGTGGCAACATCTAGAAAACATACTCTATGAAACAGAACAGTGGATATACAGATGAAGCAGGAATCCAGGATCCATTAAGGCTCAGGTGCAAGGGGATGGGTTCAGAAGCAACAGTGGCACCCTAGATAAAGACATCTACTGACAGTGTGAAATACAGATGTGGAGGGCTAGATTCATCTGATGGTTTCAAAGGATATGACTGCCAAGCTGTCTGTATAGATTTAAAAGACCCTTAAGGCCACCACATTTAAGGGGCAGAGGTAGGTCAATGATTACGGACCAAAAACAAGAAAGTATACTCACTGTTTACAGTCAGGTGTCCAGCTGACACACTATGAATGCATCCCTCACCAGAAGACCTTCATCAAAATATCTATAATGCCCACAACAGCACCTGAGTCATGGCTGGGCGATACCCTATTCTGTCCAACCCTATCTAGGCAAGGTACCATTTTCTCCTGGAAACAGAAGGATCTTTAGGTGCATGTAAGAATTTACCTTCCAATTACAAGATAAAAAGCCTGTGTTTCCATGTGTCCCATGACAAGTTCTTCATAGGCACATGTGATTATGGTGGGTATTCCTGGAAGACTTTATGTAATAGCTAAGGCATCTACAAAAGTTAAGAACACCTGAATATCATTTCAGATTAAAGTTAAGTCTTGGGGCTGGGGATTTAGCTCAGCGGCATAAGTGCCTGCCTTGCAAGCATGTGGTCCTGAGTTCAATCCCTGGTACTGGTAAAAATACAAAAAAAAAAAAAAAAAAGTTAAGTCTTACATGAATTATGTCAAATGAAGAATCCACCCCCATTGTTTGGTTTTTGTTTTGTTTTTTGAGATAGGTTCTTGCTATGCAGTTCATACTGGCCTTGAGCTTAGTTTGTAACCCAAGCTGGTCTTGAACTTGCAACAGTCCTCCTGCTTTAGCCTCCAGGGTGCTGGGATTTTAGGCATGCACCACCATGCCTGGCTTCCCCATTTATAGTTTATAAATTTTCACATTTGCTTAAAAATTATCCAACTCATTCCCACCAAATAATGCTGGCAGACTTTTTGTTTTGTTTTGTTCTTCTTTTTGGAGACAAGGTCTCACTGCATAGTTAAGGCTGGCCTCAAAATTGCAGTGATCCTGCCTCAGCCTCCCAAGTGCTAGGATTATAGGCATGCACCACCACACTCACCCAGACTTTTTTTTTTTTTTTTTGGTGCAGGGAATCAAACCGTACACTTGCAAAGCAGGCGCTTATGCCACTAAGCTAAATCCCCAGCCCTTAGACTTCTAATTATACATAGAAGTCAAAAAAAATGCCAAGAGCACCAGACCCTGTAACTAAGAGTTCTAAACAGAATATTAAGTTTCTGAGGCAGAATCCTGCCAACTTCTCAGCCCTTCCTCAATCCACCTCAGCCAGGCTCACATTCCTTCTCCTACTGAACTGGCCAAGCAGGACTTGCTAAACATGCACATCAAAGTTCCCAGCACACAAGCAAGCACTAAGAACTATTTATATGCCTGAATTTCCCCCTTCATATATAAGAGTAACCCACTTCCAGATTTCCTCAGATCTTTCTTTGCTCCCACTAAGGCAGGTAAAGCTCTACATCCTTCATCAAATTTTTCTTCTTAACAGGAGAAAATTCTCTTCTGGCCTATAACCCTAAAAACAATTGGCTCTGCATCTCCTACCTATTCAATACTCCACAAGGCAGATTCACTACATGGTATTTATTAAATGGTTTTCTATATTTAGTCACTACTTAAATCACTGCTGAACTCTTTTCCTATCTACATCAGAGTTCCACATCTTGCATTGTGAAGTCAATAGGCAAGAGTTGACCTGCTATGATTTATAACATGGTATCACAAAGAGATTTGAGAAAATGCTTGTGAACAAACAGAATGAGGACAGAAATGAGGGTCCTGAGTAAGGGCCCAGACAGGCTGTTCAACCCAAAGAACCTGAGGCCTGTGCAAGGCCTAGAGTCTGCTTTCCTCCTGCCCCAGAGATCCCTCAAGGGCAACTTAAGGCACAGTGGTGAAGGACGTGATTGGCTCAAAAAGTGTGGTCTTCTGGTCTCACGGCAGTCCCTCATCTGGAAACAGTGCAACAAGCATTCTATTTAGGAGATCTTTCCCAACACATGCAAGCAGCATTCCTGAATGAAAATGGAGACAAGGTCTTTCTTGGAAGAGAGTGCCTTGGATGACACTCTCTGCCCCAAGACCAACCAGGTCCCTTTTAAGGTCCCTGAGAACAGCAGCCTAGGAGCAACCAAGACTTTCAGAGGCTGACAAGGCACAGCGTGGATGAACCAACAGATAACAATACATGAAATAAACTTTGGCTTATAAAACTTCCAACCTGAGGCAGAGACATCAGTGTCCGCCAACATGCAGAAACAGGATTGCAGCAGAGATGGTCATCAGAAATGCTTTGGCATCTCCCACACTGCCCACATTCCAAGCCCTGCTTTCCCCACCCCCAGCCCCTGACAACACACACGCACAGTCTCTGAAAAACAAACAGGTCAGAGGTTAGCATTCAGAGCCTAACATCAGGATAGAATTCTTGGCACTCTGCACGAAATCACCATGACTAGTCCTGACAAGACAGCAAGAGAACACAGTCAAAGCTTGACTTGAAGGGTCCATCTTGTGAAAAGTTAAGCTGCCCCCAAGACAGCCAGGTCAGGAAAGTCTTTTACTTCTCCTACTTCGCTGAAGGGCTGTCCACCCTGGTTGAATGTCAGCTTATACCGTAACCGGATAGGTTCCTGGGATAAAAGAGATATGAAATATTACATTAGACGGGAGTAACACAGAGGCCAGCCCAGAGAAAAAGCTTTCATCCACCCAGGAGTCACCAAGAAGTAACCTAAATGAGGATGATCTGAACACCCTGGCTGAGCCCCTTTGAAACTACAAACACATATACCCTGGGATATAGGCTATCCTATATCCTATAGGATGGGAGCCTTCTGTACTTCTTCCGGCCTGAGACAGACTGCCATTCAGAAGGATTCACTAAGGAAGCCAAATGTCCTCTTTCAATGGACTCCATTAGTCACTTCCTTGGTTCCCAGCTACAACAATCTATCACTGATCTACGTGTAATAAACCCCAGAGAAAATCAGACTCTAGCAAGGGATATTCTATACCCCATCCCCTCCCAACCCACGACTTTACAGCAAGGCTTCAGACACCTTTTTCCAGCAACACAGTGCCCTCCCTACAGTTCAAGAGTCCCCAGTTCCCCACTAGCAAAAACATCAGAACATACTTTGTGTGGATTGTCAAGCAGCAACATTTGAGATATCACAGCTGGAGGCATCAAAGGACTGAATGCAGGAAGCTTGGAGCTGGATGCTGGCTGCAGCTTCACTCGCATGGACTGTTGGGGAAAACCCAGCATATAATTCATCTTTGACAAGCTATAGCTTCAGTGAGAGACCAGGGAAATAGGAGCTCAACCTTCACACCACCCCTCAAAGAAGAAATGGGCTTCTCAAGGCACTTATAGGAGTTCATGCAGACAGTTCCCACTAATTAATCAAGAGATCTAAATGATCTTTCCTTCTACATACACAATATACCTGAAGATGCATGGTCAATGGGTGACATCTCACAAGCAGCATAAACAGCTAGTGCGCATCCTGAAGCTGAGTATGGTGGCTCGTGCCTAAAATCTCAGCATTGTTGCAGACTGAGGCAAGAAAATCACATGTTTTGAGCCCAACCTAGGCAACTTTACAATACCCTGCCTCAAAATAAAAGAGCTGGGAATGTAGCTCAGTACAAAGGCCCTAAATTCAATCCCCAGTACTGCAATAAACAAACGAGTTAATTTTCATTCTGCCTCTTATTAGGACCAAGGGCAACATACTTAACTTTTTTTTTTTTTGGTACCAGGAATCGAACTCATTACCTAGCACTTGCCAGGCAGGCGCTCACGCCATTGAGCTAAATCCCCAGCCCTAATATACTTAACTTTTGAGACTTGTAACAATAAATCATAATAACAGTACATATACTAGGCATAGTGGCACATGCCTATAATCCCAGCACTCAGAGGAGATTGCGGCAGAAGAACTGCCATGAGTTCAAGCAAGCCTGGGCTACACAGTGAATTCCAGGCCAGGCTGCACTACAAAGCAAGACCCAGTCTCAAAACAAAAAACAAAAACAAAAACCACTACATACCCCCTCAAACAAAAAAAAAAACCAGAACATACTCTTCAAGTCTACCGTGAAGATTAGAGAACACGTCTTAGTATTTGTCTTAACTCTTTCCCTTTAGTATCTGCCCCTTTCCCTGTGATTGTTATGGCTATCAATCAGTGGGGCCCTACTTCCCTTAAAAAAGGATGGACATATATTCCAAACTGACCAGATACATAATTTCCCTGGTCACAAGTTATTGGTCCAATGTAGGCAAGTAACATAGAGTCAATCAGATCCCTTTCCTGAAGAGGCAATATACGTGCTTCACAATAGATCAGAGTTTCTTTTTCCTTTTTTGTTTTTTTTTTTGTACCAGGGATTGAACTCACGATCTCACACTTCCCAGGCAGGTGCTTATGCTGCTGAGCTATATCCCTGACCCCCTCTTTTTCACTTTTTAAAGAGATGGAATCTGTGTTGCCCAGGTTGGTCCCAAACTATTTCCAACCTCAGCCTCCCCAGTAGCTAAGAAACAGGTATATACCCCTACCATTGCACCTCCCTTTGAGTTTTCTTTCTGTCATTACAAGAGTTAAAGATCATATAATCCTGGAGCTGCTGTAGTCATGTTCCTGCTCTGCAGACGACTGTCAAGAGAATAGTCCCAAAAAAAAAAAAGCAGCACCAAGAGACGGAAAAAGATTCTTCAGGAATTATTTCCAAACCTACCTGGATCTACTCATAAATCTTAAGTCAGCTATTCAGGAAGGCCTGTGTTAAGCGGGACAATAAAATTCCTATTTTATCTTAAACTAGTCTAAATGCAAATTATCTTTTTTACCTAACTAATCATGTCCCACCAAAGGACCTGTACTCAAAAATGAATTTTGAGTCATGAAAACTTCAAAGGAGCTAGCCAGCAGCAAGTGACTCACCTTTGGCACTGCCACTTGAAACATGATATCCCAGACAGGCTGGGTAGCAGTGCTCATCATGGTCAGCAGTAACACTTGCACCTCTGGGTGGCCAGGTGCCCCCGTCTGGGAGAAGTGGAGCAGAATCCTGAAGCCGTTCCGATCATACACAATAACAGGAGGCAGGCTGCCTGGCAGAGAGAGACCCAACAAGAAGGGTTAGCACCACTGCAAATTTCCACCACAGCCAGACATGAGAGAGATGTGCACATTATCACCAATGCTGCTGCTTCTGTAGCTCTCTGATTTAACCCTTCTGTACCACCGTGGTCCAAAACCCCATCATTCCTCTGGACTCCAATGGCCCGAAAACTGACCTCTCTTCATCATTCAACCATCCTCAGCACATTACCAGGTTTTTAAAAAAAATAACATTTCCACAGGAAACACAACTATGGATAAATAATGCATGAACATTACAGAAAATACAAAATGCCAAGAAATAAACACTCTTTGGACTACCCAAAAATAAGTAGTACAAACAAGCTTATTTCATTCTGGCCTCTCTCGTATGACCACCTACACATGACTATACCCATACTTGTATTTAGTTTTGTAAAATTATAAAGAGAGTAAATCTCAAGTTAATAGATTTAATGAAAAGCCTAAAAAGATTATTTTAATTTAGCTAAGAAGTGATTCTAATGTTAATGCAGGGCAGGATGAGATTATTTATAGGAGACAAATCAACACATAAAGTTAGGGATACAGTACTGTTATTTGTATTGCAGACAGAGATGAAATTCCAATTTAGGTAAAGTTGGTGTACAACGCATGTGGAACAGACCCAAACACAAGAATTTAACATTCAAAAAAACAATAAATTTAACATAAAGAAAAATCAGTGGTGGATTCAATCAATGGCACCCAGCTGGGCATGATGGCACACACTTGCAGTCCCAGCACTTGGGAGGCTGAGGAGAAGGATTGCCATGAGTTCAAAGCCAGATTGGACTATATAGTGAGGTCAAGGCCAGCTTGAACTACCTGGCAACACATTGTCTCAAAAAAAAAAAAAAAAAAAAAAAGAAAGAAAGAAAGAAAGAAAGAAAAAAGAAAAAGGCATCTAAGAACCGGGCATGGTGGTTTTAATCCCAGCACTCAGGAGGCTGAGGCAAGGGAATTGTTGCAAGTTCAAGACCAGCCTGGGCTACAAAGTGAGCTCAAGCCCAGCCTGAACTGCACAGCATGACCCTGTCACAAAAAGATGCGCCTCCTCTCCCCAACACACACACCAAAAAAAAAGATGACTATCTGGAGAAATTTTTTGGAATTTTATTATAGTAGTGAGTTATACCGTAATCTCTACATCTATGGTTTAATCAAGAAATGCTTTGCATTTGCATAAAGGACATATTTACCCTAGTGGAATAAAAGTAACAGAAAAAAGGCCATGTACATGTTACTCAGCGGCATAAGCACCTACCTGGCAAGCGTGAAGTCATGAGTTCAATCCCCAGTTACAAAAAAAAAAAAAGACGTTTCACCTGGTCTTATTTTCACTATTTTGTACCAGACTTTTCCCTCTACAGAATTAATCTTACATATATTTTAAGTCTCATTTTCCTCCCCATATTTTTAAACATTAAATGGAGCATCTCACAATTACTAATTATAAACAAAAGACTGAAAACAATACAGGAAATGGAACTTGAAAACAAAGCCACCAAACAGCTATTCTTATAGTGGAAAATTTAGTAAAATATGCCCATTCTATGGCTCATCTCAAAGAGAAACTTTCACCCTGAGGCAAAAACCTCAGATCTAGGAGTTCATGGTAAGGGTTTAAATTAAGATCCTTACCTCACATCAAATATCACTTATCAAAATGCTAATATAAAAAGTTTTATGATGCTGTCAAAAATTAGACTGAAAATGCCACTGAGGTATGAATGGCAGTGAGAGTACTGGGTAAAAGGCAACCTGTTATAAGGGAACTAATAATGCAAACAAAACTTTAAATTGGCGACAGTAGCATTTCACTACTTTTAAAAGTGGCCTAATTATTAGGAGAGTATATAGAAAGGTTATCAGCAGGGCCTAGTGGCTTACACCTGTGATCCCTGCTACTTGGGAGGCTGAAGCAGGAGGATCACACTGAACATGTAGTTCTGCTTTTATGTTTGTAACTTTGTTTTATAATTATTTCACATATATAAAATGTTACAAAGCTAATGAAAGACATCTATGGCTAGGGAGATAGCTCAGTGGCATAAAGTGACACCAAAAAGAAGAGAAAACAAAGAAATCCCAGTTCCTCTAAATGTTACTATCTTATGTAACTGTGGTATTAATTTTTTGAAACCAGGACATTAACAACAAATGTGTATTATTCTTTAAATCAAAAATTAATAGCTGGGCATGGTGGCTCATGCCTATAATCCCAGCACTCAGGAGGCTGAGGCAGCAGGATCCTTGTGAGTTTGAGACCAGCCTGGGCTACAAAGTGAGCTCAAGGCCAGCCTGAACTGCAGAGAGACCCTGTCTCAAAAAAAAAAAAAAAAAAAAAAAATTTAATAAAGCAGATGTGCAAAGAGCACCCATTACTTCCCAAATGTGTTTAAATTCCCATTCTTGGTTCCAGGCCCTCTGCACTCTGCCCTCCCCACAGGGGACTCTGTAGCCTAGAAGCACATGGCCCTGGAGCCAAGGACATGGCTTGCTTCCTGCCCTGGAACTATGATGCTGATCACAAGTGTCACCTTCACTGGCTGGCTCTTTTGGTTTCCTTTCCGTTTGAATCAAGGTGACATCCACTTTTCTTATTTAACTAGATCCCTAGAGAGAAGATCACTAGTTCAATCTTCCTTTCAACTTCCACCTCTTCTCTGTCATTTCAGGCCATATTAAATATTCCTCCCTGAATATACATGTCCCACAGGAGACTTCAGCTTCCTCATTAAGCCTTGCCTGCCAATACTGTTCACAGTGACAATCTTGTGACAGACTATACTTTAGAAAAAACACTAACTAGAGAGTTGGACATGTGATGCACGCCTGTAATCCCAGCACTTGTGAGGCTGAGGCAGGAGGATTGCTGTAAGTTCAAGGCCAGCCTAGGCTACATAGTGAGTTCAAGGCCAGCCTGAACTGCAAAGTGAAACTGTCTAAAAAAAAAGAGAGAGACCGACAGAGAGAGAGAAAGAGAGACAGGCAGACAGACAGACAGACAGACAGACAAGCTAGAAACAAAGCAGCTCCCTCTTACTCTGTCCCCCAGGCAAATCTACCACTCATCTTCCCAAATTTAAGGGCCATTTCTACCAGTTTAGAATAGGAAAATCCAGGAATCTAACACAGAAAAGGAAAATAAAGGGGTACAGCAATACTTACTGGGCTTTACAGACTCCAGAGGGACAAACACTTGAGCCAGAGGTGTATTCTGAGAGGCGGGGGAAGAAGCCAACGGGCCAGCCTCCCAGGACCAACCTGGAGATGATTTAGTACCTGGTGGCACTTCCTTGGGGATACTTTTCTGTGGAACATAATTCCTACAAAGAAACAAAAAATATCAAAGACCAAAAATTATAGAGAATTCTGAAACTCTAATTAATCTTGCTAAAGAACAAGATGAGGAAGGGAAAAATATACCCCCCCCACACAGGATAGCTATTAAGAGGTAAATGATTAAATAGATCCTGTTGGGAGCCGCAGCCCCGAGCCCGGTCGCCTCACTTGGCGGACGTGAGGCCTGTAGTAAAGAGTAAAGCCTGAGGTAGATTACCCCTCCCATCGAGCACGTTAGTTTCCTGCTTACCGCGTAAGCAACCCGCTCAACAATATAGCCTGCCTGGCAACTGATGATGTTAGCCAATCAGCTTGCCTTGCTTACTTTAACATGATTGGACACTGTATCCGTATATATACTGGTGCCACCCCTGGGGGGGAAGAAGAAGCCCGGAAGTAGAAGCCCAGAAGGAGCCGCGGGGAGCGGACCAGAGGAGGCTTCGGCTGGGAGCGATCCCAGGGCAGGCTGTACGGAGAAGGAAAATAAAAGAAAAGGTTGTCCACTGCCAGACATTGTCGTGTGTCCTTCCTGCCGGCCGGAAGCGACATCGACATTTGGAGGCCCGCACGGGGACTGATCACCCCCGAGACGTGACAGCGGACAACGCTCCAGTACAGAGCTGCGAGACAGGTGAGTTGGGGATAAGCCTGGGCTCTGGGTGGCGCGCACCTACAGGGCTTTTAGACTCCCCTCAGGCTCACGCGTAAGTGGCGGATTCCTTGGGCCTCACGCGGTGAGTAACATATTAAAAAATGGGAAACATGCTAGGTAGTAACATTAAGAGCGAGGGTGGTTGTGGAGAAAGCTCTCAAGAGCTTACAAAAGTACGCAGGGTATTTGAGCAGGCCCAGTCAGGGAGCTCCCGAGAGGGGCCCGTCAAGGGGAACAAAGATGCTAGGGAGAAGGACGGGGCTCTAGCCTCGGAGTCGTCTGACTCCGAGGACGAGGGAAAGTTGAATGGCAAGGAGGCCAAAGAGACCAGCTGTCAGGAGCCTAAGTCGCTCGATAAGGAGTCGCAGGGTTCTTTCCCAGTAATTCAGGGTACCACAGAGCCATTTGTTGACTTTGTGGCCCGAATGCAAGATGCTGCCGATAAGATATTTTCTGATCCGGGAGTGGCTCGACCGCTGGTAAGGCAGCTGATTTTTGAGCAATGTACAAAGGAGTGCAAGGCAGCGATAGCTCCTCATAAGAACAAGGACCTCAACGCCTGGATTAGGATATGCAGAGAGATAGGGGGGCCGCTCTCCAACTCGGGAGTGGCTGCTCTCCTGGCCGCGGCTGTACAGCAGAGGGGACCTCGCGGGTTAGAAGGGGAATGTAAGGCTAAAGGGTGTTTTGCCTGCGGGGAGCCAGGACACATTAAACGTCACTGCCCAAACAATGCAGATGCTAGGCCTCGCCCTAGGAATGAAGAACCATATGTTTGTGGGCGATGCAAGAGGGGATCACACAAAGCTGAGGAGTGTAGGTCGGTCTTTGATGCTCAGGGCAACCGTATTTGTGGACGAGATGCTAGAGGGCCAAAAAACGGCCAGAGGGGGCCCCCTTCACAGGCGGGCCCCCGCCCCAGAGACAGGACAGCTCAGGATGGCAGCCTTCAACAAGGGCCACCCCTGGGTCAGCAGGTGTGGACCTCAGTGTCGCCTCCAGACTTATATTAGTGCCTGATATGGGTGTTCGAGTGGTTGAAACCACCTTTAAGGGACCGTTACCCGAAAATTCCGTGGGTCTGGTGATCGGGAGATCCTCCACGGCCCTTCGGGGTCTCATAGTAGTCCCGGGGGTCATAGACTCAGACTACCCAGGACACATTAAAATTATGGTTCAATCTCTTGTGGGTACTATGGTAATCAATAAAGGAGACAAGATAGCGCAGCTCTTGCTGCTCCCCAGTCTCCACAGGAGATTTCCCTCAAAGCAGAAAATTAGAGAAAGTCAAGGTTTCGGTTCCTCAGGGGAAGTCTTCGAGGGACTCCATATAATACTTAATAAAAGGCCCATGCTCTCACTTAAGGTCAACGGCAAGAGTATAACAGGGCTCCTAGACACAGGAGCTGACCGTTCCATTATCTCTAGAAAGGATTGGCCCTCCAACTGGCCCACCAACACTGCAGATAACACGCTGCAGGGCCTGGGGATGGTGTCAGCTCCTCAGGTTAGTGCTTCAACCCTGCTCTGGTGCGATGAGGAGGGTCATCAGGGCCATTTCCAACCATTTGTGTTGCAGTTGCCAGTGTCTCTATGGGGAAGGGACATCCTCACTCAGATGGATGTCACGCTTACGTCAAACTGCTCCCCCCAGGCTAAGGATATACTCAGGAACCAGGGATATACCCCCGGCAAAGGCTTGGGCAATGCCCTACAGGGTCGGACATCCCCAATACCAGTAGAGAACAAAAAAGGTAGGCAAGGGCTGGGTTTTTCTTAGGGGTCGCTGAAGAAGCTCTCCTACCCACTTCGATCAAAATCACCTGGAGGTCAAATGATCCGGTTTGGGTACCTCAGTGGCCCCTGCCTAAGGAGAAGCTATTAGCCTTGTCAGAAATAGTCAGTACACAACTTAGATTAGGACACATTAAGCCGTCAACCTCCCCATGGAACACCCCCATTTTTATAATTAAGAAAAAGTCTGGCAAATGGAGGCTGCTCCATGATCTAAGGGCGGTCAACGCGCAGATGCAGTCCCTGGGGGCGGTCCAGAGGGGGCTGCCGGCTCTCTCAGCCATCCCTCAGTCCTGGCCAGTTTATGTTATAGATCTTAGAGACTGTTTCTTCTCAATCCCCCTGCATCCAGAGGACACTCATAGGTTCGCCTTTACTTTACCCACCATTAACCAAGAAAGCCCTGATCTTAGATACGAGTGGATAACGCTGCCCCAAGGTATGGCCAACAGTCCCACTATGTGTCAGATTTACCTTGATTCCCTACTGGCCCCCCTACGGAAATCCTTTCCCAAGATAAGATGTGTGCATTACATGGACGACCTTTTGCTCAGCGGCAGGGACCCAGACATGCTAAATAATATGCTCGGCCAGTTGGTCGAGGCCCTGAGACAAGCTAATCTGCATGTTGCCCCCGACAAGATTCAGGGAGGAGAAATGGTGACCTACTTAGGCGCAAAAATCTCCCCTATGCTAGTCTCTCCACAGAAGGTCACCATTAGGACGGATGGCGTTAGGACCCTAAATGACATGCAAAAGCTATTGGGAGACATTAATTGGATTAGGCCATATTTACATATACCAAATTCAGATCTCAAACCCCTGTTCGACCTTCTGAAGGGAGACCCAGATATAGCCTCCCACAGGAGGCTCACTCCTGAGGCAAGAGCTGCCTTACAGAGAGTGGAAAAAGCCTTAGGTGGGGCTACCTTACACAGAATTGAACCAGGGCGACCCTTTGATGTCTGTTTGCTACAGACTAGTCTACAGCCCACAGCGGTGATTTGGCAGAAAGGACCACTACTGTGGATACACCCTAAGGTCTCACCTGCAAAAGTCATAGAGCATTACCCGGAGGCAGTCGCTTCATTGGCCCTTGAAGCGCATGATAGAGCTGTCCAACATTTTGGCTCAGGACCACAAGCCATCCGAGTACCCTATACCGCCAGCCAGATCAAGACCCTGGCTGCCTGCATAGATACATGGGCCATTCTGAGATGTGTTTTCCATGGGGATATAAACAATCAATACCCTAAAGACCCTATCTTGTCATTTGTTACTCAGCACCCTATAATTTTTCCAAAGGTTACTGCCTCTGAGCCATTAGTCCCAGCAACTACAATATACACAGATGGCTCCAAGACGGGGATAGGCGCCTATGTGATCCTAGGCAAGCCCCCGGTTACCATACAATTTGAACCTGATCAGCCTCAGGTGGTGGAACTGCAGATCGTTAAAATGATTCTTGAACGGTTCTCAGAAGCCATTAATATTGTCTCCGATTCTAGGTATGTGGTCAATGCTATGCAAGTGCTTGAGACTGCCGGTTTAATTAGATCCACTTCCACAGTGGCTGGGCTGTTCCTGTCTATCCAGACATTGCTTCAGAACAGACACCATAAGGTCTTCACCACCCACATAAGAGCACATACATCCCTGCCAGGGCCTATGGCACAGGGGAATGCGGCTGCTGATACTGCCACTCGCCCGTTATGGATTTTTACCTTACTAACACCAATCGAGCGAGCCCGTGCCTTCCATGATAAGTTTCATGTCAATGCCAGGACACTAGCAAACCATTTCCATGTTTCCAGAGCAGATGCACGAGATATCGTGCGACTATGTGACTCCTGTGCCACATACAAACCTGCCATACCGATGGGAGTAAACCCTCGAGGTTTGATCCCTGGTGATGTTTGGCAGATGGACATCACACATATACAGGAGTTTGGGACTCTTAAATATGTTCATGTTTCCACAGACACCTGTTCTCACGTCATATTCGCAACAGCAGAAACAGGTGAAAAAGTGTCTAATGTGATCAATCATTGCCTGGCGGCTTGGGCCGCATGGGGCAAACCAAAAATATTAAAAACTGATAATGGACCAGCCTATATAGGCAAAGCCTTCAATGAGTTCTGCAAAATGATGGAGGTTCAATTAAAACATGGTATCCCATACAATCCCCAAGGTCAAGGAATCATTGAGAGGGCTCATAGAAGCCTCAAAGAAATTTTACAAAAACAAAAAGGGGGAGTAGGCCAAGGCCTGGCCCCAAAGGCACGATTATCCATGGCACTATTCACACACAATTTTTTAAATTTAAATAATGATAATTGCTCCCCAGCCGTGGAGCACTGCAACCCTTCCCCCAACCATAAAGGGTGGGTGAAGTGGAAAGATGTCCTGACAGGACAATGGATGGGCCCGGATCCAGTGGTCAGCTGGAACCGAGGCGTGGTTTGTGTTTTCCCACAGGAATTGGGACGAGAACCACTGTGGGTACCGGAGAGACTGACACGGGCGACAAAGCCCTCGACTGAAGATCAGACCTGCCCTACCGGAGATCCATCACAGACCAACCAACAAGATGAATAGAAATAGCGGTAGCCCGAAATGGACAAGAAGATCCTCAGGCATATGCATGGCTCGCTCGCCTAGCCTACGACCGAGTCTAGGGGTGGTGAGCTTCCCACACTCCTCCTCTAAAAAATTATGACATAGCTGGGTAAGAGAGTCAATGACGGGTAAGAGCGTACTCCCCCGGTGCGACTCAACCTAAGCCAGGCCCTACCCCATTCTGCACGTAAGCCGCTGGACTGTTAGATGCTGCCCAGGTCTAAATTTCTCTCCGAGGGGATTTCTTTACGGAGAGGAAATGAGTGCAAGCTTGTGTGCATCCAGGTTCCGTCCAGTTTGTGCCTGGCCCTAGAAAAAGGACGAGGGCCTCAGGGCCTTGGCAGACCATGGGACGGCCGACCAGGGTCTAAGCCAAGGACCTACGGTGGGCCTACGCATAGGGCATAAGCCTCTGCACCCAGTCCAGAAAGGGCTATGATGCGCACATTCATAAAAAATAAAAAAGGGGGAGATGTTGGGAGCCGCAGCCCCGAGCCCGGTCGCCTCACTTGGCGGACGTGAGGCCTGTAGTAAAGAGTAAAGCCTGAGGTAGATTACCCCTCCCATCGAGCACGTTAGTTTCCTGCTTACCGCGTAAGCAACCCGCTCAACAATATAGCCTGCCTGGCAACTGATGATGTTAGCCAATCAGCTTGCCTTGCTTACTTTAACATGATTGGACACTGTATCCGTATATATACTGGTGCCACCCCTGGGGGGGAAGAAGAAGCCCGGAAGTAGAAGCCCAGAAGGAGCCGCGGGGAGCGGACCAGAGGAGGCTTCGGCTGGGAGCGATCCCAGGGCAGGCTGTACGGAGAAGGAAAATAAAAGAAAAGGTTGTCCACTGCCAGACTTTGTCGTGTGTCCTTCCTGCCGGCCGGAAGCGACATCGACAAGATCCACACAAAGGAAAAAGGAAAAAAAAGAATAAACATACCCAATCAATTATAACGTAGCTATTAAAGAAAATGAGGCAGATTAATATAAATGAGTAGGAAAAAGTGTCAAAGGTATAATGTGACATAAAAAGTCACAGTAGAGTAGTTTGTAAATCTCAATGTCATTTGCATAAAAACAAGCCACAATGCATTAGTGACATGTACAGGAAAAAAGGCAAAACATTGAGCACTTTTTTCCTCAAAACTTGTTTTTGAGAGTGTTATTTAGGATCCCTATAACAGATTTCTCTTAAGAATCAAGTTCTGCTTAATTTCAGATTACACAGTAACTGAGGAAAAGAAGTAAACATAAAATCATCACTATTATCTATTTCTTTCTGCCAGTCCTTTAAAAATCCCATGCAGCCAGGCATGGTGGCACATGCCTGTAACCTCAGCACTTAGGGGTCTGAGGCAGAAGGATCATTGCGAGATCAAGACCAGCCTGGGCTACAGAGTGAGCTCAAGGCCAGCCTAAACTGCATAGTGAGAGCCTGTCTCAAAAAGAAAAAAAAAAAAATTTTTCATGCAAGATGTCCTAGCCGGAGCACAAATTTCTCTATAACTTCTGAGAAAATTAACTAGAGAAAGGAGGGACAGCACACACTTAACACCACCAGAGGGACGACGCACTAGTAGAAGGGGAGACCCCGCTGGCTGCCCTGGGCAGCCCTCCCCTACGCATGGGGTGCTCCAAATGGCAGCAAGACTTGTCTACCTCCCTTGCCCAGAAGACTCACAGAGGCCCTGGAGTAGGCTGTGGGGACAGAAGGTCCAGTAAGTTCCTGTCTGCAGAAGAACTCTTTAGATTATCACCTCCGGGTAGTGTGCTGGTGGTGGGATTCTCCTTTTCTTTACAGCATTTCTGGCCAGCAACCTGTCAGATCAGGAATGGCTAAAATAAGGCTAGAGTCTACATGACCATCAGCCATGGGAGCCCCTGGCATGCTCTCCCAGCTCCCAAGCTTAGTAGAGGTCCTGTGACAGGAGGAGAAATAAAAAGCAGGAGAGCATAGGACTCTTGAGATCTTTAGGAGGCAGAAGCCTGGTACAAAAAACATTAAGAGGAAACAGATGTCACTCCCTAGGATGTGAACTGGACACAATAAGTGAGGAGGGCCTTTGGAACTCCAACTCCAAGCCCACAGGATTCTGTAGTAACCCATCTCCCCCAGGCAAAGTTTGAGAGGCTCTCAGCCTGCCTAACCCCTAGGAAATAGCTTCCCTACCTTGCCCTTGATGGGAGCATCACTGATCCCTGTAGAAAGAACAAAGATGCACAACTGTAACTCCACCTGACAGAAACAGATTAGTGAACATCCCCCCTTTCTGGGAAGAACATTTGCCAAATCAGGAAAAAGAAAGCTACCAAAGCCATTCAACTCACCCAAGGCAAATCTGAGACTAAGATGCAAACGAACTTCTCTGAAGTCCCTGGAACACCTGGCTCCCCAAAAGCAAGCCAGTACCCCTTGAGGAATACCCACTTTTCCCTCTACCTGCTCAGAACCACTGTGCATGCTCCTTCAGACTAACCCCACTCACCTAAGGCTGCCAAGTCCTGATGAAGCAAAGATGGTGCCACAGACCCAGCCTGCTCAGGGCCACTGTCCACCTCCAGGTCAATCAAGGGGCAATTCTTCATGCTGTCTGCTGGATTCTGGAAGACTAGAAAACAGATAGGCTAGGAAAAAATATCTGTCAGACGTTGAGAGCAAAATTTCCACTTGTATTAGCATCCTCAGGCCTCTTCCTAATCAAAACCACCCTCAGGGCTCTTTCTAATTATACCAGTCTCCCATGCTCCATATATCCCCAGAACCATCTTCCACTTAGCTGAAATACAGCCTGAGCCTGCATCTGACAGTGAGACAGGCAGAGGACTGCCCTTCCACCCTAGAGATAAGTTCTCTTCCAAAGGTCCCATCAGCCTGGGCGGCAGCAGACATGGCTGCTTCTTCAGCTGAGTCCTCTGGAAGTTTCCAATCATACCTGATCATAATCACCTAGGATGCTTGATAAGCTGGCCTGGTTGCTACACTGTATCAACCTGATAAATCCAGAAGTCTTAGGAAGAGAATCAGTAGGGAGTCAGGGTTCAAACTTTGTAAATATCCTCATCCTGTGCAAGAGGACAATGGAGATTTTGAGAGTGCTATTCCAGCCCTGGGGGCAGGAGGTAGCCTGCACACAACATAAACAAGGGAAAGAGGCATCCTCTACCCCTTCTGTTTTGTCCTCTACCCCTTCCGTTTTGTTCTGGCTGTTTTTGCTGGCTGCTGCCTTTTAATGTTGCCCCACTGCTATGCCACCCTGCCTTGGAGCCGACTGATTATGGACTGAAACCTCCACAAACAGTGAGCTTATCAATAAACCTTTCCTTCCTTCATTTGAGTGTCGGATATTTTGTTCTAGCAATGAGAGAAAAGTAACCAAAACATAACACAGACAAACTGGACTAAACTCTAAGCAGCCTGGATTCAGAAGATCAATGCTGAGACCAAAAAAATCTATTAACCAATGATCTAGAAAGACCCTTTCTTTGGTGTCTAGACCCTGTATGTGAGCTTGCATGAAAAGGACTTAAACCCAGGCATGAAACAGCCATTTGCTTCTGGTGCACCAAAGGTGAGATCCAATCTGACTGCATGATGGGTTCTGGGGCAGTGGGATCAGGGACAAGTTCCCTCATTTATACAACACAGCCCCAAATATTCTGCAGGTCCATTCCTTTTCTGGGATTTGCCAGGCTGCCTTGAGGTAGAAGGCAAGGAATAGTTCTTTGCACATACCTCTGGAGACAGGTGTGTCTTTCACTGAGCTGGTCACTGTGCTCCCAAAGGTGACACGACCCTCCATGACCTGTTTGTACAGCAGAACTCCCTGAGTAAGGAGGTCATTTGCCTGGAGAATCTCGGCTGAAAAATGTGAGAAAAAATCAGAATCCCGAGTTTAGTTACCACAACTTCAGTCCTTCCTAATCATTCTAAAACTAGCCTTTACACATAGGCTCAGCATATCCATGCCTCCTACCCCCCGGTGTCACTCAACCTTGAACCCTAAAACTCTTAGGTCCCAATTTGGAAAAAAACAATTTTTTTTTTTTACCATGTCTGCCATAATAGCCAATAGTAAATGCTCAAAATGTGGATCTTTTGAGCTGGGCATGGTGGTGCACACCTGTAATCTCGGTACTCAGGAGACTGAGACAAGATCACTGTGAGTTTGAGTTCAGCCTGTGCTATACAGTGAGTTTAAGGCCACCTTGAACTACATAGCAAGATTGTCACAAAAACAAAACTTCCTCAAAAAAAAAAAAAAAAAGGGACTCTTTCAATGAGGAGCTGACACTTTTTTTTTTTTTGTCTTTTTGCTTTTTATCAGTACCAGGGATCGAACTCATGACTGCCTGCTTGCAAGGCAGGCGCTTATGCCGCTGAGCTAAATCCCCGGCCCTGGAGCTGACACTTTTAATTAAAGGTATTTGATTCAGTTACTGAAAAGTTTTTAAGTACTTATAGAACAAATCAGTATATGAGTCAGTTTTTTAACCTAGAAATTTTATAAAATTTTAAATGTGGATCCAGTATTTCCCATGAAACTTTGACATTCAAATTAAAACACAATGTAAGTATAAAAAATACACACAGGATCCCAAAACTGCACAAGAACTCCATAATCACGTTTAAATATAAATGACTCCCTTCTAGGAGAAAGAAGAGCAGCAAGGCTGGGAAGATATATAACATTCCAGGCCAAAGTGCTGGGAGATTATCTCTGAGAAGGGAAAAACTGCTTACTGCCCTCAAATTTTCTGGCTATGAATGGAGACTGTAAACTGCCAACATGGGGCTGAATTCTGGAAGAAGTATTTTTTTACCTGGCATCTTCCAATCAGTTCTTTATAAACTTAAATTTGACTATGCTGACCTCACTGCAATCACTGAGAAAATAGTGGGTTAGATGTTAAATAGAAGACAGATACTCCCATATCACAGAGCCCTATAACAACACCCCTAAAACACTGAATGCTGGGAAGTGAACCCAGCACCTTTGCACCAAGCTTTCATCCCTAACCCTTTTACTTTTTAAATTTTGAGTCAGGGTCACTGAATCACTAAGTTGCCCCTTCTGGGCTCAAATTTTCAATCCTCCTGTCTCAGCTTCCCACGGTGCTGAGATTGTAAGAATAAACCATAATGCCTGGTCAAAATTCTTGTTAAACCTAACCTGATCTAGCCCCTGATTTAACTGGTTATTATCAGAACTATCAGAAACAAACAAAAAAAAATTAAGCATCAAAGGGGGTGCACTCAGCAACTTCAGAGAGCTTTACAAGTGAAGGATCCATGTTCCACAGAAGAATAATCAACAAAAAACCACAGAGGCAGGCACTGGTCCTGGATCTCATCTTATTCCTATCTCATCTTCAGAAATCTAGATCTGATTTCTTGCTCAGGCTTAGGTTCTCCTAAAAGTCAGCTCTAAGTAAACTGAAACCATCCCGTTTCTAGCCTAGCCACCACAGAACCTAAAGCTCATTTGTTCCCAGCGCTACTGCAGCACAGCAGGTAGGACCACGTCTGTTTTGCTCTGAGAGTACTTGCTAGGCCCAGGGACACAGAACTGTGTTACCAAGTGCATCGTCGTCATCAGTGGTGTCACTCGCCAGCCGGAACAGTGTGGGCCGCAGCTTCTCACACCTTTCATACACAACCTGGGAAAACAGAGCCTGGTTTACACATGCACCTGTGCCCCCAACCCTGCCACAGTCCCAAGATGCCTCCATTTGAGCAGGAAATAGAGGCCTCTGAGGAGCTGACTGCAGCCCCCTCAGGCTCCCAGATTTATACCTCAGGCTTGAAGTAACACACTTAGTTTCAGAAAAAGTTTGGGCTGCAAGTATGTAATTCTTTTTTCAGTACTGAGGATCAGACTCAGGGCCTTGCATATGATAGGCAAGCACTCTGCACTGAGTCACATTTCTAGGCCTTTGTGAGAAAGAATCTCCTAAAACTGGCCAGGTTGGCCTTGAACTTGTCATTCTCCCAACTCACCCTCCTGAGTAAAGGGGATTACAAGGAGTGTAACCACTACACACCCACATCAAAAAAAGCAGCAAAAGACCTAAGCTCAGACAAAAATCCACTATCTCTGTGTACATAGCATCTTCCTTAGGCCCCTGTCCCAGCTCTGGGCACGAACAATTCTTTTTTTTTTTTTTTACTATTATCATTTGACCTTCCCATCCCAATTGCAGTCTAATGCTTAAGTCCCCTAGAACAACCCTCCCATGACACCTAATCACAGCGCTCCTCTGGAGCTAACCCTGATCTCCCAACCCCATCTTGAAAGTCCCATTTTCTTCATTCTTGGAAAACAGCACTAGACAGCCTCACCCTCTCAATGCTGCTGAGGAGACAGAGCTCTGCACCGCTAAGTTTCTTCTGTGTTTTGGTCTTTTGAGACAGGGTCTCTATATGCAGTTCAGGCTGGTTGTGTGTGTGTGTGTGTGTGTGTGTGTGTGTGTGTGTGTGTGTGAGAGAGAGAGAGAGAGAGAGAGAGAGAGAGAGAGAGAGAGAGAGTCTTTTTGAGACAAGGACTCACTAAGCAGTTTAGGCTGGCCTTGAGCTCACTTTATAGTCCAGGCTGGTCTCAAACTCACAATGATCTTCCTGCCTCAGCCTCCCAAGTGCTGAGATTATAAGTGTGCACCACTATACCCAGCAAAACTTTCCTTTTTTGAAAGAAGTTTCAGTTTTACACACCAGACTCCCTAAATGCCACCTCTCTCCTGCTTCTTTGCTGGGTTGGGAACAGATATGATGTTGCAAAATACAACACACTGACCTCCCCAAGAGACCATGGCAAAACCTTACCAAGAGAGGAAATGGACTCTGAGGAGTCTGTCAGCTTGAATCCAAACAACACTCCTTCTGAGTTGTGCCCTTCCCCCAGAGGAAGGTCATTATAATTTCTCTCAAACATAATTTGGACCAATACCTAATATGGTCCAATCCCAGGCATGGCAGATACATGACCTTAGCTGGCTAAACATTTCCTCAGGAATGTGGAATTGGAAAAGACACTAATCTGTTTTTGCTGGTTACTTAAACTGGTAGGAAAGGTAAACAAAGGAGTTAGTTATGTGAAGGCCACCTTCCCTATGAAGAGAAGAAAAAGCTAGAATGAGAAAGAGAGTGACCTGGTATCTTAAACAACTATTTGTAAAACAACAATATGTAAACATCAACTAGTGATTTCTTACTGTTTATTTTTCTCTCTGAACATATATATTATTTCTACCTATTTTCTGTTTTTAGTCTTTCTTTAAATAAAATTTAAAAAAAAAAAAAAAAAAAGAGAGAGTGACCTGGAGGGGAAGGCAGAGTTGCGCTCAAAATGAACTTCCATGGTGGTGAACGTATAGCACACGTGCAGCAGTGGCTGTGCACACTCCACAGAGGCCTGCTTAGCTGAGACTCTTTGAATGGCCAGTCAGTGTGCTATCAAAGATATGAATACATACACATGCATGTGTGTGTGTATGTGCATGCTTAGACTGGGTATGAGTTTTAACACATTTGATTTTATTAACACAAGATTTTAGCTTTGCATTTTCTTATGTAAAATCTTATAATTTCAGTTTTTCATTATGAAAGCAAGTGAAACATAGTGTTACCTATTGTTGGTACAGGGATAGATTTGTGTTGAATGTTTCTTTTTTTTTTTTTTCCCGAATTTTGTGTTTTGGTAAACTCCAAACCTTGAACACCAAACAATGGCTACAGCAAAAACAACACGCCGGGCGTGGTAGCTCACGCCTGTAATCCCAGCACTCAGGAGGCTGAAGCAGGAGGATCCTTGAGAGTTTGAGACCAGCCTAGGCTACAAAGTGAGCTCAAGTCCAGCCTGAACTGCACAGCGAGACCCTGTCTCAAAAAAGACAAAAAAAAAAGTGAAACAGATAGTGGAAGATCATTCTAAGAGGCTTAACCAGAGTCATTTGGAGTGACTGAACACAATGGGAAAGTGTTCTGTAGCCTGGGGAGTGGAAATGTTGTGTGCTGCACATCAACTGTTAGCACTTTGACACTAATTCCACTTCTTGAAACTGTTACCAAACTTGATGAAACTGAAAGGAAAGAGTTTCTTGGGCCAGGGATATAGCTCAGTGGCACAGGGCCAGCCTGGCAAGCATAAGGTCTTGAGTTCAATTTCTTTTTTTTTTTTTTTTCTTAATTTTATTTAAAAGGAAAAAGAGAAAAAACAAAACAAAACAAAGCAGTGTAAGGGTACAAGTAATACAGAACTACAAAAAAAAAAAAAAAAAAAAAAAAAACAGTAAGAAATCACCAGTTAATAGATTACACATTATCATCTTAGAGATAGTTGCTCAAGACACAGTATCAAAGCATACAAAGTGGACACTCAGACAGTGAGACTGCAAACAGTTGTGTTCAATGATCCAACCAAAAACATTTATATGTCATCTATTTAACACCCCTAAACACACTTGCAGTTGGAGTTCAATTTCTGATACCAAAAAAGAAAAAAGGAAAAAAAAGTTTCTTGAAGGGCAACTGAGGAAATATCATTCCCAGTCCCTTAGTTTTTGCAACTATCTTTCTAAAACAAATCATCTGACAGATGCCATCTTTCGAATTTCACTGTGCATAGCAAAACACAGTAAGTTCCTCTCTGGTACGGATTTTATCAAAATGGCCATGTTGTTTATAAGCAATTCCCTTTCTCATGATTTCCCAAAAGAAGGAAAATCATGCAATGTATTCTGAGATGCCGCTTAAGAGAAATACTGTTAGAGTCCTGTACATGGCAAGTAATGTTAGTCAGAAACTCATTAGTGACTTACAAAAGGCAGCCTGTTATTCCATGTGCTTGCAGGAAAGCACAGATATAATCTTGCAAGGCAACAGTAATTCTGCCTTATGCTGTTGGTGACATCCCAAAAGAGGTAATGAAACTGATGTCTTTCCCTGGAAGAACACAAGGGATAGGTATGGACGATGCTATAACAAAAGCTTTTGTCACAAAAAAATAGGACCAGAAAAAGTGGTTTTAATTAATAGTGATGGAGCACCTTGTATAATGGAGGTAACAGCTGGTTTCATAAAGTTCTTTATTAAAGAAGCAAAAGATGTAGTTATTCAGTTTCATTATATTCATTAAGAACCTGCCATAGAAAGCAGCAAAAAATAGATGATATTGTGAGATGTCACAAAAATGGTGAATTACCTCATGGCTGATGCTTTCAATTTTTAAATTTCAAGCAATTCTTGATGAACATAGTACACTGCTTTACTTATGTACAATAATGTCTGGTGGCTGAGCAGTTGCATTCTGGAGAGATGTGTAGCCTGTTGATTGAAATTTGGCTGTTTTATGAATGAAAATGGGCAGAAATATCCATGGCTCACTGATATAGCCTGGCTTAACAACCACATTTTTGTTTTGTTTTGTTTTTAACAACCACATGATTTTTTACAAATTTTACAGTATACTTCCATGTACTGACCAAAATCTGTAAGATATAGGGAAAACAGCAGAGAGGATGTCTTGTGACATCAAAATTGCAGATTTTTCAAATAGATCTTAAAAGTGAGCAGCTCAAATATTTTCCAAATCTAAAAATGCATTTAAAAATTTCTACATTTGGGCCAGAGATATAGCTTAGAGGCACAGCACCTGCCCAGCAAGCGTGAGGCTCTGAGTTAAATTTCCAGGTTAAAAAAAAAAAAAAAAGAAAAAGAAAGAAATTTCTATATTTTCAGATAAACCTACAAGTCACTAGAAAAATCTACAAAGAATTTTTCTAGTATTGAACCAGCGGCAAAGAAGAATTTTAGTAAAATTTTTACAATTCTGTAAGATAGAAAGAACTCTTTTTTTTTTTTTTTTTCTCCTGATAAAGCCAAATTTGAAGAACTTCGTCTTCCTGCTTACACTGAAAATCTGGGAATGGAGTTATTGGAATTTTGGGAAAGTTCTATCTGGAAAAAATACTATAACCTGCATGCAACACTTGAGAAGACAGAGTATGAAGGCATGACAAAGGACAGCACAGTTGGTAGTTCTAAAGACAAAATCTTTAAAGTGTGGCGTTCTTTGCCGAATCTAAGTCAAAGCACTGGGATTGCTTTTCTTTCTTTGGATCAGCTTCTGCTCGTAAGCAGTTGTTTTCAATTTTAATTACATCAAAACAGATACAAGAAAAGATAAAGATGACCTGAACACTGCATGTGTTTGTCTCAAATCCAATGAAGTTTGAGCCAAGGTTTGACAAATTATCAGCATGTATACAACAGCAGAGAACATACTAATTGTGTAAAAAAGAGTGCCAAATGCAAACCTTTACCTTTTGATAAAAAGCTGTATCACTGAAAGATGTAAAGATGTTAACGTATGTTGTTTTTTCTAAACTAAAATCTCAGCATTCAGGTTTTATTGCAGAGCTGACACTTTGTAATAAGTTAGTAGGTTTGGGTATAGTTTGGACAATCGTCTCTATAAGGTTCAGCTACAAGAAGGATGGCCTCAGCACTTCAGTGCTGCACTGCCACAACGGGGTTGTGCAGGTGGTGGCTTCTCCCATAGGACAACAAAAGCATGACAGTAAAAATACATACATACATACATACAAACAAAGAACTTCATAAGAATTCAAAATTTTTGAATTTTACTTCAAAAGACGCTATCAAGGGGGGAATGGTGGTACACACCTGTAATGCCAGTACTAGGGAGACAGAGGCAAAAGGATCACTACCAGTCTAAGGCCCATCCTGGGCTGCATGGTGAATTCAAGGCCAGACTGAACTACACAATGAGACGCTGTCTCAAAAAAAATAAATAAATAAATAACAGAAGCGGGGTGTGGTGGCGCACTCCTGTAATCCCAGCACTGGGGAGGCTGAGGTAGGCGGATCATTGCAAGTTCGAGACCAGCCTGTGCTATAAAGTGAGCCCAAGGCCAGCTGGAACTGCATAGCGAGACCCTGTCTCAAAAAAACAAAAAAACAAAACAAAGAAAAAGAAAAAAATACTGATGAAACAAAACCACACAAAAAACAAGTGGCCAATAAGCACATAAGAGAATGTTCAACATAAGCATTCTTTGTATTTGAAGAAATACAAAACCACAGTTAGATACAACTTCACATTTAGGAGGACCATTTAAAAAAAAAAGACTGAATGTTGGCGGGATTGGGAGAACTACAACCCTCATGGGCAGCTGGCAGGAGGTAAAATGATGCAGCTACTTCACAAAATGTTTGGCAGACTCCCCCCGCCCCCCAATGTTAGAAACTAGACTTACTAATGGAGCCAGTCATTTCGCTCCCGCATGTCTACTGTACAGAACTAAAACTTATGCTCACACAAAAGCTTGCACACAAATACAGGGCATGAGACTTCTTTTACAGTGACTAAAATGTCCTAAAATTAGCCAGGAAGAGCTGGGCATGTAGCTTAGTGGTAGAGCACTTGCCTAGCAAGGACCTAGGTTCAATCTCTGCACCACCAAAAACCAACTTAAATAAATAAATAAAAATAAAATTAGCCAGGGGAGATATTTGCTTTTATCCTATGTTGTGCTAATATAGTGGTGGCAGTAAGTATAACATGCGTGCCACAGGCTATTTGTATCACTGAAAGGTTTAAAAAGTTTGCCCCCACTGTGCTATTACTTCAATAGGGCATTAATAGGAAAAAGACTGATCTCTGGAGTACACAAGATATGAAGCAACTGTAACGGTTACACACTGCTGTTAGGAGTGTAAAATGGCAGACTTGGAAAGTTTCAGAAGCTAACTATATATTCAGCAAGTGATCTAGCAACCTCATACTTAGGCACTTACTCAAGAGAAATAAAAATATATTTTCATACAAAATCCTATACACAACTGTTTATAAGAACTTAATTTATAATCACGCAAAGCTAGAAACATCCCAAATATTAACAGATGACTGGATGTGAGTATTGTGATAAACCCATGCAATACATTGCTCCTCACCAATAAAAACACCTTGGTAAACATGATAATAACATGAGGAGATCCACCAACCATGCAAAGGGAGACAATAATTAAGATGCAGACACTCCAGCATTTCACCTATGCAGTAGTTTAAAAGAATAGAAAGTAAATCAATCAGTGGCTGCTTGGGAACAGGGAGGTTATAAAGACAAAAGCAAAGGAGGACAGGAGTTAAGGGGGAGAAGGGTGATAGCCACGTTTACTATCTTGTCTGTGATGATGGCTTCATGGATCTATACAGGCCAAAATGTATCAATACGCTGTAACACACAGGGCAGCACACAGTCATAGCTAGAAGGTTACCTGCAAGGCTGCCTGGTCTGGCGGGGCCTGCCCTGGCCGGCGGTACATGCTCAACATCTCCTGCAGCACCTTCACATGGCTTCGCACCTCCTCCACCGCGCTGACTCTCCTGGACACCTTCTCTGATTTCTCCTGTTCCTTTTGGGAGAAAAAGGACAGAAATGAGAGCAATAGCTTTAGATGAAGCCTGAAGTGGGGGCTAGAAAAAGGACAGTGCACTGAAGGAAGCCCAAGGAAGTCACAAGAATAATTAAAAGAAATGGGGGTACTTACTTGATGGTAAAGAAAAACCTCAAAGTCCAGAATTCCTGGGGGGGACAATGTGACATAGGGGTCTGGTGACGTACTGCCTTATACCAGACCAACCCTCCACCCCTCAGGAACAACAAACTCCCAAATGTGGTCTGTGTCCATACCAACATCTCTCACAGAGACAGAAGCTGGTGTCACAAAATGCTTGGCGTGCCACTGTCAAAAGGAGCTGAGAAACCAAGCACAGTGCCACACATCTGTAACCCTAGCACTCTGAGAACCTGAGGCAGGAGGACTGCAAGCTCAAGCCTAACCATCTCAAAATTAAAAAGGCTGGGCATGTAGCTTAGTACAAAGGCCCTAGGTTCAATCCCTAGTACCAGGAAAAAAAAAAAAACTGGAGCTGAGAGCTGGGTGTGGTGGCACACACTGTAATCCCAACCCTGGAAAGGCTGAAGCAAGAGAATCAAGGCCAGTCCGGACTACACAGTAAGATCGTATCTTTAAACAAACAAACAAAAAAGGGAGTAAGAACACAAGAACAAAACTGCTGCTTCTAACTACCACCCTGCAGCCCTTTAAGAGCTCTCAGGCCTTATGGCTCCTCCCCAACCCAGGGCTAGGCCATTAGCCAACCACGCCCCTGCACCGCCAAGCACACGCATACACACATATACTGTCTGGCAACCGTGCCAAAGTTTAGTTCTACAAACCCAACTGGAAAAAGGCCCACCTCTTTGACCAAGCTCTTGATCAGCCGATTTGCAGCCTGAAGATCCTCCGGGTGGCTGCTCTTCAGAAGCCGTGTCAGAAGCTGAAAAAGAAAAGTGGGTGAGGTTGTAACTCCCCTTGCTCAGAGAAGCAGCAGCAGTAACGGAAGCACCAACACTAATAACAGCCATGTTACATGTATTATCTTACTGTGTCATCACAGTGATGTTATCTGTGACATGGGTACTACAACCATCCCAGAAAATGGCCTAGTTTTCATGGAGTAAGCAATGAGGGAATTATATTCCCTTAGGGTACATATGTCTGGGGACATTTCTGGCTGTCCTAACTTATAAGGGGTTCTACTGCCATCTAAAGAGTAGAGGCCAAGGAGACGTAAAATCCTTCGGCCCAGCCTCCACCCACTCCAAGACAGAAATATCAGTCACAAAAGGTCCAGACTGCTGAGGATGCCGTAGGCCACATTCTCTACAATGGAACTGACCTTGGTCGTCCTGTTTATCACTTTACTCCAAGCCTGGTAGGATGCCTGGCACACTCCTGTCTCCTTGATCTTAGCTGGGTAGATGGCAGGAAGGGTAGGAAACCTGAATTGCAGCCACTACCTTTATGTCACACTCTCCCCTAGCTCCACGATCCCCCGCCATTCATCTGCACTACAGAGTTATCCCCCACACTTGGGCTAGGATTTAACAACTCTCCTCTTCCCGCTCCTTTTTCTTATTGATTTCTGAGAGGACAATGGTGGCACCAAGATTAGTGGTACTAAAAATAATCTTCACCAACTTTCAACTCTTTCCTCTTTACCACTTCCACTCCAGGATCACACTCACACTGAAACAGACTGATGAGCCACACAACCCCACATTCCCCTTGGGTTATCTTTCAGGACCTTCCTTCACCCAAAAGCACATGTACAGATACTGGGATGGTTCAAAGCATAACATTTACCACCTGGCCCATCCATGAACACATCCATGCTCTGCTAAATAAGACCATTTCCAGACTTCCCTATCTCCCCCAATTCCCTATCTTCCCCAATTTAGGGATCAGAGGACATTTTCAGGGCAGTCCCTAGAACAGGGGTCTGATCAGATCCACATCAGCTACTGGGTCTGGGAGGAGTTTCTTACCTTTGACTTTTCTTCATCAGCATCAAAGATGGAGCTCTTGGGCCAGGGAGAAGGTGGGGGTAAGATTTTATCCATTGGTAGTTTAGGATCTTGTTTAATGATTCCTAAAATACATAATTCACAGAGTTAAGATACAGGTATGAGTACCTGGTATTTTAGTAAGATCCAGTATGAAGTCCAGAAATCTTTGGTTCCTGATACCCCACAAAAAAATACATCAACAGCCTCCAAAAGATATATCCAGGGTGTGATAGAAGCTCTGTATTACCTCTTAGGAGAATAAAAAAAATACCACAATGTCAGGGGCAGAGTACAACTAGTCCTAAGGCCTGTACTCTGTGGGCCTTCTACTATAAAAATGATGGTCATTCTATGTAGCCCCATAAATAATCTCCCAGGGCCCAGGGAAGCTCCTAAAAGCACTAACAGAATATATGTAATAAGGAAAACCTTTTAGGTTTTTTGTTTGTGTTTTTTTTTTAAGACAGGGTTTCACTATGCAGTTCATGCTGCCTTCAAGCTTGCAGTGATCCTTCTGCCTCAGCCTTCCGAGTGCTGCGATTACAGGTACCACCATGCCTGGTTGCAAAACAATCTATCTTAAAAGCAGTTCCTTTTCAAACAGCCCAGCCTAAAAGAAATTTTCGGCTTTCTAGTCAGGAGACGCAAAGATGAAAGATTACCCAGACAACAATAAAAAAAACAAACAGCGGAAAAAAAAAAAAACTAGACCACCTGCAATTTAACAATTTTTTTCTGAATCCAGGAGAGAGTTAAAACCACAGGGCAATTATCAATTAATCTGAAATCTGAGAAAAAAGCAGTGTCTCCAATGAATAGTGGGAAGTAACACCAGTAAGAATAATGCAGGCTGGGTATTATGCATGCCTGTAATCCCAGCATTCAGGAAGCTGAAGCAGGAGGATTGCCAAGTTTGAGGCCACCCTGGGCTACATAGTTAAGTTCAAGGCCAGTCTATATTAGCAAATAATACCCTATCTCAAAAAACAAAACAAAACAAAACAAAAAAAAAATCAGCTAAAATTGTTTAATACTGCTCATAGTCCAGTGTGAGTTACCAAGAAAGAAAATAACAGAACTTTTAGGGACACAAAACATGGAAAATGAGCTCTCCTTCAAGTCTTTAAACTGCCGGGGGAAGGGTGACACACCCTGCACCCTCCACAGAGGAACCCACTGCAGTTGGAGGAAGAACAGGGAAAAAGCAAGACAAAGGAGTGGGCCTAGAACAGGAGCACGGACTGCGTCCTCTGAGTGGGCCGGGATCCCAGAGAAATCACACCAAACCCACATGGAGCCTGCCCTGCCCCCACCTCATCCTCCTGCAAGTCACTGCCGCCTGCCGTCGTGGCAGCAATACTACAGAAAAAGACGCAGATCAAAGTGAGAGGGAACAGACAAAAAAAAAAAGCAAAATTCTGCAAATCAATTCCCAACTTAAGTGTAAGACACTACAGGAGAGGAATCGGATGTCCGGCAGAGTGATGGCAGCTAGAACAGCAGCAGCAAAGTACAAACCCAGCTGGACTGCTGTCCACCAGAAGGAAAGGCCCGCCTATTTCCAGGGATAAAGACCCTTTACCTCAGTTTCTACTGTCCCCCACACCATGCACATCTTACATATCACATCACATATGCAACATATCACAAGGCATAAAAAAAGGGGGAAAACACCACAGGGCTGAGAGGGAACACAACATTAGTGATGACAGTCAAACCTTGTTTCTTCAGCATCTGGTAAGCATCTCGGATCTTGATGTCTTCTGGAAACCACACAGTCCAGCTATAGAGTATTTCAGCAATTCTTCCTTTAACTTTTTCTGTGGCCCAGGCCCCTAGGTACTGAAGGTAAAAAAAGAGAAAAAATTACCTGGAAGAGACTTAGGAGAACTCTTGGCCAATACTCCCATTAAGGAGAAGCTATTAAGGCCCAGAGAAAAAGGCCTCCAAATGCAGGTAAAGTAGGATACAACTAGAGACCAAAGTATCTGGCAACCAACTCACAGCCCTTGCAATCACTGTAATTGCTGAAGTTAAAGCTTTAAACATACAAGCCTTGTCTACATCACTGGGAATATTCTTTTTCTTTCTTTCTTTATATTTTTGTGACTGATGCAAGTATGGAACAACAAAATCTGACCTTAACCCACTTCCTAGCACAGAGCCTCAAAGACCCTTAGAATGCCAGGCATGGTGATGCAGGCCCGTAATCCCAGTACTTGGGAGGCTGAGGCAGGAAGACTGCCACAATTTCAAGATCAGCCTGAACTACAGAGTGAGTTCAAGGACAGCCTGAGCTACATAGCAAGACCTTGTCTCAAACAAAACAAAACAAAACCATAGAATTTCCTGAGTGATGAGGGGGTCCTGTTATTCAAAGGAGGCCCTTTGGACCACTATGAGTTCATACTAATGACTCATGGTGGGTAATTTGTTAGTCTCAAAGGAGTGGACGGGACACCATGGAAAGAACAATCACATGAAGAACTAAAATCTTCAGCCTAATTCCTTGACCCGGGAGTAAGGGACGTGGAGAAATGTGAACTGGACACTGAGTTCACACACGTGGCCAGTGACTGACGCAATCCTGCCAGGTGATATGGTCGTCCAAATAGGAAGGGAGTCAAGGAACACCTGGCTGGTAAATACATCAAAGTATGAGGGTAGCAAGCTCAGATCCACGAGAGGCACATCTTCCTTTTCTGAACTAAGCTTTGCTCAGGTATTCCTCCCATTTGTGTCATTTAAAAGATAATAACATAGCATTTTCCCATGTATGTGTTGTCCTAGTGAATTATGGAACCTGGTGCGGAGGGAAATCCCTAAATTGGCAGTCAGCAATGCAGAAGCGCAAGTTTGAGGACACTGAGATTCAAGGCTGGCACCTGAGACAGGAGTGGTCTAGTAAGACTGATTCAGTGTCTAGGGTGTGAGGAATGTGTTAACTCCAAGTAATGTCCAGGTGAACTGTAGGATGCACAGGAGACATCAGAGAATGTGCTGATTTGCAGCAAGAAAGGGTTTCATCAATGCAAGCTACCTGAGAGTGACACAGGTACGACTTTCTAGGTGCAGAAAACCAGGCAGGAGGCAACGTGAAATTAACAGTCATATCTAGTTATTGCTCACTACCTCCAACAGGAGACCTATGCCTTTAAGCTAAAGCTCCTTACCTCCTCTAGACTGCACACCCCAAAATATAGGACAAGCCACTTTCAAGGGAAAAGGTGGAAAAAATGCTAACCATGGAATGGCAATGGATAGCTGATGAACACAGCCACCTTCCCAGGCTTTGGAGAGGAGATGGCTCTCATACATAAGGCCTCCTCTCATGAGCTGGAGGCAGGCAGGTAGGCTCTGCCACATGCACGCTTATAGGAGTCCACAGGAGATTGATGGTCAGGAGTAGGTGCAGCACAGAAGGCAGGCCCAAACCCAGGAACTCACTTTTGGCGATAACACCTTGATCAGCTCATTCAGGAAGCGGAACTTGGCCACCTCACCATGAAACTTCTCCCCGCAGTGGTTCATGCACATCTCTAGCACCTGCACAGACATGGGACCTGTGAGGAAGGGAGGTGAGGGCTGCAGGGTGCCTGGTGAACCATGGCTAACTTTCCCCAAGTCTACAATGACCCTGACATTTGGGAGAAAAGATATGTTCCAGGATCAAGAAAACAATGTCCCCTGTCCAACACTGCCATGTTTGTGCCCAGTAGCTCAATGGGGTTTGTGTGTACTTGAGATTACTCCACAATTCAAGGAGACCCAGACCCCTCAGGCAGGTGAAACTGGCCTGAGAATCACAACCTCCTCAAAGGAAGAAATCTCGTGGATCTGCTCAAGACCTGAGCCACTAAAAGTCACCCACTGGCACTCAAGAGGCACATGTAGCCTACACCATGTCACCTCTGGACACCTGTCATTTTTTTTTTTTTTGTCTTTTTCATTTTTATTGGTACCAGGGATCGAACTCACGACTGCCTGCTTGCAAGGCAGGCGCTTATGCCGCTGAGCTAAATCCTCAGCCCCACCTGTCATTTTTTAACAAGTCAAATGAGTTGAGTTTTTTTCCTTATAAATTTAAAGATCACAGGGCATGGTGGTGCAGCCCCATAATTCCAGCATGGGGGAGGCTGAGGCAGGAAAGGATCATTGCAAGTTTGAGCACAGCCTGAACTACAAAGTGGGGTTCACAGCCAGCCTGAACTGTATAGGGTAACCTAGTCTCAAAAAAGACCAAGAAAGAAAGTTAGTTAGTTAGTTTAATGATTGTAACTAGCTTTATTTTCAATTCTAGAATTGGTCAACACTTCATTCCAGAAAACAGAGTGTTTCCATCAACATTCAAATATTCATAGAATTCATACAAATCTTGATGAAGGGGACAAAGTATCACTATGTAGTTCCCGCAGGCCTCAAACTCATGGTGATCCTCCTCCTGCCTCAGCTTCCCAAGTCCTGGGATTACAGACATGCACCACCAGGCCCAGCTTAAATATCTGATTTCTGTATTCTCTTAAAAAGCGAAAGTTCTAACAACATTGGGCCCAAACTCAGGCCTTTGCAAATAAGCATGTGCCAGCCCACAGCAGCCTCACGTGGTGCAGGGGTCCTGTGGGTACTTGAACTTGCTAGCCCTGATCTAAGAAATAAAGGGAAATAAATCTTTCCCCCTTCTTCTCCCATGGCCAGCTCAGTGCTGCTCTCTAGAAACAGATCTGAGATGGGATGGGCCACCTAGCACAGATTCCCTCCAACTTGCTATCCCAGGCCTTTGAGGGTGAACCTCTCAGATGCCCATGGCGAAGGCTTCAGGCAAGGGCAAGTCCCCTTCTGCTCTTTCTAGCACCAAAACAGAAGAGGTCAGGTGGAGGGCAAGCCAGACTCACCGTCAAGGCATACAGAGCTTCCTTCTCTTGTGGAGACTGGATCTTGTGGGCCAGCAGCCAGGGCGCATGTGTCGGGCTAAGGGAAAACAAAAAGACCTGGATGCTGGGTGTTGAGGAATAAACTCACCATTCTCTAAAGTCACTACCTTCCCACAGCTGGGGTCTCAAAGCAGGCTGGAGTGCGACTGGCAAACAGCCTGACACCCAGCCACCTGTGGCCCCTGCAGCACACAAGGTCGTCTTTCTCCACTCGGACCACATCATCCCCCTCACCCACCTCCCCCAGATCTGCAAGCAGAGTAGTCATGGCTCAGCAACCTGAGCAACCAGCTGTGAGCAGCATGACCTTGTGTATCCTGTGATATCCACTCAGTAAACACTGGAAGAAGTGCTACCCAGTTTTGGGTTCACATCAGAGCAGCTCAACACTCAGCACCACACAGGTCAAACACCTGGGTAAATGACCCGATTGGTCAGGTCCTATTCAGGGGTTTTCAGAATAGATTTCAATTAAAAAAAAAAAAACCTACCCTGTGGCTGGGGGATAGCTCAGTAGTAGAGCACCTGCAAGGCTTTAGGTACAATCCCCTGCACCACACACACACAAAAAAAAAACCCTGAAATTTTAAAAATATTGTACCATTTCCTGCTTCCTCATATAGAAGACTACATTTAAATTAAGAATACACTGGTGTGTTTCACTAGCAAGCACCATTCTAGGAGCAACGCTCAGACTTCTTAGCACCAGAGTTTGTCTTTTGTTTTTGTTTTTTGGGGGTTTGCCTTGTTTTTGGTAGTACAAGGGATTGAACTCAAGGTCTTCATATTGAACTACATCTTTGGCCCTTTAAGAAAAGCTACTAAGTTACTAAGTCACTAAATTGACCAGATTAGGCTTGAATTTGCATCTTATTGCCTCAGTCTCCTAGAACGCTGATGTTACAGGTGTGTACCACCAGAAGCTACAGAGTTTTACAATATTATCATTGGGGGGGGGGTTTTAAATTTAGGACCTCTCACTTGGCAGGCAATTGCTGTGCTATTGAGCTATATCCCCAGCCCCCACATTATTTTTTAAATATATATATATAAGCTGAGCAAGATGGTATATGCCAGTAACCCCAGCACACAGGAGGCTGAGACAAGCGGATCTTCCTGAATCTAGGCTAGCATAGACCACATAGTGAGTTGAGACCCTGTCCCAAAAAATTAATTAATAATACTAAATAGTTGTGAACAACTACTTTTTAAAAGTCACATGAACCACAGGTATGTCTGAGTGAGTAGGATGGAAAACCGTATTACTGAGCTTTTGTTGGATATTGAATGGAACTGTCTCCAATATCACTGTATGAATGTCCACTTTATATGCTTTAATTTTATAATTTGGACATCTGTTTCTAAGAAGACAATATGTAACCTATTAATGAGTGATTTCTTACTGTATATTTTTTTTCTTGAAATTCTGTATTACTTGTACCCTTTTACTGCTTTATGTCCTTTCTTTTTTCTCTTTAAATAAAAAAAAAATTTAAAAATAAATAAATAAAATAAAAGCCACATGAAATTGTTAATTTAATTTTATCTCATTTTTGAGACAGGGTCTCACCTTACAGTTCAGAATGATCTTGAATTCACTATGTAGCTCAAGTTCATCCTGAACTCACCATGATTCTCCTGCCTCTGCCTCTTAAATGCTGGGATTATAGGCACACATTGCCACACCTGGCTTAGTTTTAGAAAAAAACTGTGGCAATATATGCTCATAATCCCTGCACTTGAGGCTGATGCAGGAGGATCACATGAACTCAAGACCAACTTGGATTATATACTGAGTCCAAAGCTAGCCTAACATACCTAAAACCCTGTCTCAAAAAATACAATAAAAAACCAAGGACTTGGCTCAGGGGCAAAGTGCCTACTTGGCAAGTACAAGGTTCTGAGCTCAATCCCTGATACCAAAAGAAAAAAAAAAGCCAAAACAATACAACAAAAAACAGAGAAAAGAGATGGTGGGTGGAGATTTAGCTCAGCAGCTCATGAGTCTGATGCAGGGTATGGGGGGGGGGGCAGGGTGGAGAACACATGACAAAGAAAATCCTAACTGTTTCAAGACAGAAAGACCCATATTCAACCTTCATGCCCTCAAAGTTAAGTGAATAAGAAGTGAAGTTGTCTTACCCATTGGGGTCGGTGTTCACCTGCTCACAAAAGTTCTGGATAGCTGACCAATCCTGTTCTGACACACTTGGGTCTGTGGCTTTGTCTATCAACAAAACATATTGTTCAGTTAAAGAAAGCATAGGAAACAGACAGTAATGAGCCAGGTATGATGTGCATATCTGTAACCACAAACCCTACCTGTTCCTACTGTCTTGAATCACTTGTGTATGTTCATGATTGTCCCATTGCGCATCCTACAACACTGGTACTACAAACAGATCTAATTACTTTTATCCATCTCTTTACTAATAAAATAAAAACTGCCTGATAGGACGGTCATAAATGGACTGCCAGAAGTTTCCACTCTCTGCCAGCAAGACACAGGAATTATGGCTCCATCATGAACATATTAAGGCCAGTGTGGGTCACACAGTAAGACCCTGTCTCAGAAGAAGAGGGAGAGAGGAAGAGGAAGAAACAAAAAGAGAAGACAGAAAACTTACATTCTTCTCCACTCCATTGTGACACTGTACCTTTAGATTAGATCAGCTAGCAGATAGCAGACAGCCAAAGGACAGGGACCACGCCTGTTCTGTATCATTCACCACTGCTAACTGTCAAGTATCACATCTGGCATAATAGCATATACTTACTGAATACAGGTACCCTGAGCTTAATTTGTTTTATGATGTATGGGAAGATGACTACGGTTGTATTTTTCACCTAGTGTGGAGTCTGCAAATGGAAGAAAAGTTTTGCCAAATGCTTTTATTTGTGAACTGAAATGTCTGCAACAGAAGTGTTCATGAACAAGGTACTACTGTATTCGCTGGACAAGAAAATTAACAAATTGCCCTGAAAATGGCTCTATTTTTAGTGCAGAGACTGAGCACAAGTGCCTCCATCATGTCTGGGGCCAGGACTCCCTACGCTGGCCCTGAAATGTGTTAGGCATAGACCAGAATCTAGGAGGTGATCTGTAAGTTTCTTAGCTCTGGGACAGGAAGACAGTAACTGAGCGGAGGAAGAGGTCACAGCCATGCCTTTCCTACATTTTCCTACTCCTCGATGCCCAGCCAGTCCTGGCTTATCAGCCTCTCCAATGAAAGACCACGCTAGTTCTGATGGAACAGTTCTTCCAGGATCTGGAACTAAGAGGTTAATTCTCAAAGTGGTGTTTTCCTCTCACCCAAATATCCACTCCACTCCTCTCAGAAGCCTATCCATTCTTGAAGACTCTGCTGAATTTACATAGCTTCTCTAAAGTCTCCCCCAACCTGCCACTGCCCCAGCTCTGAATTCTCCCTTCTGATTTCTTAGGCCTCCATCATCAATCTAGAATGGAACTGTTTAAATTCATGTCATGTAGGAATCTCGAATCTCAACAATCGATTCACAGGACCTACCTGAACTATCGATCCCATTCTAACCGCAAAGAGAAAGTGAAGAAGGGGAGCAAAGGCACTAGATCACCAATTTTCTCACTGCCCCAAAACTGTAGCATAGGCCTGTAATCCCAACACTCAGGAGCCTGAAGCAGGAGGAACAGTTCGAGGCCAGTGTGGGCTACAAAGTGAGTTCAAGGCCAGCCTGAACTGTATAGTGAAACCTTGCCTCCAAAAAGAAAGAAAGAGAAAGAGAAAAAGAAAATCCTATTCACTATTCAGGTCCCAAAAGAACAACAATGGTCACAAGAAGAAGTCCTTGATCTTTTTCTCTCCCATCCGCACAAAACAGAAGTTACGTCTTCCTCCTCATAACTGGTATTTCATCTGCCCCTTCCCCTTTTGTGATGGGGCTCTCCACCTCTAACCCTTATTAGCCACAATGATCTTAAGACTTTCTGAGCCTGACACTCAATTACAAAGGAAAATATCTTCCTCATGGAACTGTCATGTGATTTAAAGCAGATAGTGTCTAAAGTGTTTAGCACGACAGCTCACAGTATTATTATTTTAATAGAGTCCCTGCTTTTTCCTGTAAAAATGTATAAATCAGCCTTACTGTGTCAAAAGCAAATAAAATCCTTGAAGGCAGAAGCCATACATCCCCTACAGTGCTTCACACAATGCTTTATCCACAGATGCGAAATACAGTGCTCAAATTATGAGCTGATCTACAATAAAGTTACATGCCAATAAACCCCAATGTTGAAATTCTACTTTGAAATACTGTTAAGTCAGAAATGTCTGTAGATGCAATATTTAAAGCATGGTGGGGGCTGGAGCTTTAGCTCAACGGCATAAGCACCTGCCTTGTAAGCAGGCGGTCATGAGTTCGATCCCCGGTACCAATAAAAAGGAAAAAGACAAAAAAAAAAAAAAAAAAAAAAAAAAAAAAAATTTAAAGCATGGAATCTCAGGTTCTGTTTTAATCACCTAAAAGTTATTCTATATCATTTACATTTTGGTTTCTGTTCACTACAAGGTCAAGGCTGACGGCCCAAGGGAATTCTGACCTCCAAGTATGACTGGATCCAGAGGAGAGCAAACAGCAAGCAGGGGCCAAGCTTACAGAACTGGGCCTTCCATCTCCTCTCCTGCTGCCCAAGGTGGAAAAGAAAACACCACCAACCAAACCCTTAGCCAAGGAAAAACAGCAAAATGATCTATAAAATGTAAGACAGTTTCTTATTTGCTAGGTCTTATTATAAGCAGGATTCACTCAAGGTTGTCATGGCCCAAAAGATTAATAACAGCTGCTGTTTTTCTATTTTTATTTCTTTTTGTACTTTTCTTTCTCTGGTTGCCATTGGACCCAGCACCATGTCTCCGAGTGCAGAACAACAGGCATTGAAAACTATCATCTCACCACTTTACAGATGAAACATGCCCATCCATAAAACAAGAAAATGGTAGCAACAAAAATTCAATCCAGTGTCTGTCTGCCTGCAAGCCCCTAAAGTTTTAATTGCTCTTCCATGAAGTCTTTAGCTCCTCAACAAAGGCAGGGCAGGGCCTCTCCTCAGGATGAGTTTGACTATTTTTTAGGGAAGTTACAAACACCACCAAGACTGTCTCATTCACCTCCTTATGCCCTAGCACCTAAAACAGTACTGGTACAGACAACTACTGAATGAAAGAATATTTCATTTTTTGCTATATGGTGTTTCACCAACTGGTTGAACCTATTACTGCCAGGAGAAAATGACTATTTCAGTTCTGAACTGGGTCTCCTTCCAAATACATAATCCCTGCTGACCAACTATCTCACAGGCCCCAGGAAGCTCCAGACAAAAAGACCCCCAACAGAACCAGCAGCTAGGTCTGATAAGATCATAGAAACTGGGGCTGAGGATTTAGCTCAGCAGCATAAGCATCTGCCTTGCAAGCAGGCGGTCGTGAGTTCAATTCCCGGTACCGATAAAAAAAAAAAAAAAAAAAAAAAAAAAAAAAAAAAAAAGAATCATAGAAACTGTCCAGGTCTGACACCATTTAGAACCACTGAGTAGCGTAGGTTCTGAAACTCCACAGGGAGAAACTTCACAGATTCTTCCACTGACGATTCTGAGCCTGTACAAGCACTGAGAATGGCCATTCCAGGTTCCATGTACAGAGTCACCATTTGGTGGGACAAGGGGTGTCAAGAAATAACACTACTGCCATGTGTTTGCCTTAATAAAAGCAGTTCATTTCAAGACTGCTGCAGGGTCAAAGGTGTTAAGGAAACAGCTGAGACCTTCAGCTGTGAATGAAACGGCTCATCCAAGAGTGACTAATTCAGAAGCCGAATCATCTTACACCAGCTGCCAACCAACCACCAGGGTCAGGACTCTGGCAGCAGCACAGTATGTGCTAGGCAGGGAAGCCCCGAGGCTGGGGAAGCCATCACCCTGGGGAACTAATTCAATCGCTTGGCAGTGCAGACTGCATGCAAGCCCTTCCACCCAAGGCCAACAGCCAGGACTCCACTCATACAAGCAAAAAGCCACCTTGACATGAACATCCTACCTAAGACAGAATATAGAGAACTCAGCCCTCAAAGGGTGCTATCCTAGACCTCTCCAGATCCCCAAAAGAGCAATAAAAGTGGGGCTGGGAAGAATAACGGCAAGGCTGAAAGGAAGAGAGGACAGGACATATGTATTAATACCTTTGATCTCCCAAGAACCCTAAGGGTGACCCACTCCTATAATCCCAGCATTTGGAAGGCTGAGGCAGGCAGATTGTTGCAAATTCGAGACCAGCCTGGGCTACAGATTGAGCCCAAAACCAGCCTGAACCACATAGTGAGACTCTGTCTCAAAAAGACAATAAATAAATAAATAAATAAATAAACAAACAAACAAACAAACTGGGAATCCCTGGTAAATTTGAGCCCACCTGGGCAAGTTAATAAAAGACTCTACCTCAAACTTTAAAAAATAAAAAAGCTGGGAGCGTAGCAGTACAAAATCCTGGGTTCCCCCAGTACAAAAACAAAAGACAACAACAAAACACATTGCTTTGCTGGCTGAGGCAAGATCTATTAATGACTCCATTTAGAGTGACTCTTCAAGCAGGTTCCTCACAGGCATCTCCCTTCACTCCTGGCCTAGCCCTACATGAGTCCTTCCTCCTCTCTCCTGTACTACCCCACCCTCAACAAATCTAGTTTAGACCACAACTCACTTTCTCTGTTCCTAGGCCCCGAAGAAACACAAAACACACAGCCACAGAGACTGCAATGCATATTTTTGGAGGTGGTACTACAAACTGAATCCAGGACTTTCACACTAAGCACATTCCCAGCCCTTATTTTTTGAAACAAGGACTCACTTAATGACAAAGTTGGAAAGATAAATAAATAAATAAATAAATAACCACGTTGCCCAGTCTGAGTTAGAATTTGTAATTCTCCTGCCTCAGCCTCCCAGAAGGCTGAGATTATAGTTGTGTGCCACTGCAGTACACATTTCTGGTCTCCAGACAACACTACAGTTCTCAGAAGATCGTAGGGTGGGATGAGGTAGGGTGGCAAGTAGAGGTGCTCCTCATACCCCTAAGGAAATCTGACAGTGTCCAGAGACATTCTGATCCCAAGGACTGGGAAGGGAAGGCTTGTTATTTGTAACTAGTTGGTAGGGTCCAGGGATGTGGTTAAATGTCCTGTAATGTACAGGTCCACCACAACCCAGAACCACCAGGCCTAAAATGCCAGTGGTATAGAGGTTGACAAAAATCCTCCTCTGGAGTCCAGGTAAGCTTCCTTTTGCTTCTCTTACCAGCTATTCATGAACTTCCCCCTCAGGCAATGACAAACTAGTTTGCCTGTGCAGTCATCTTTATCTGCTTCCCCAGATACTCAAACAAAAGGTGCCTTTTCTCCCAGTAAGGCTAAGTCACCCTTTCCTGCTCTGGCTCTGGACACCATTAGGATCTCAAGTCCCTCTACTAAGGATGGAACACAGACCTAAAATTGAAGAGAGACCATTCCCCTTTATTTCTAAATCTGACCTACCTACTCCATCTCCTCCCTTTCACATAGAAGAACCATATTTTTTAAAAAATCATTTGTCTGGGGCCAGAGGATTAGCTCAGTGGCACAAGCACCTGGCCTGGCAAGTGCAATATCATGGGTTCTATCTCTGATACAAAAAAAAAAAAAAAAAAAAAAAAGCATTTGCCTGCCACGTCGTCCTCACAGATTTATTCTGCCTGACTTCCACCAGATAAATTATACTGTCAAGTGCTGCCAACTTTTAAAAGCCTAAGAAATCTGACATAAATATATGGAGGTTCCAGATCTCCCTGAAAAACAGAACATCCAGGAACTTTGGCACACTGACCCAAAAACCTGGAGCTCCCCTCTGCTTGGGCAGTCTGGATTCCAGACACTGCTTCTGTCCTGTTAGGTCAGCTGCTACTACTTGTTTTCCTACCCAACCTAACACACACCCCACTGTAGCTGGCCCTCAACGCCAGTCTATGCTCCACTGCCTCTTCAACAGCCTCCCAAATTACCCTGTCTCCACCACTGAACCTGAAGACCTCTAACTACCTTTCAAATTTACCAAATTCAAAATCACTCCTTCAGGCTGGGGATGTAGCTCGGTGGTAGAGTGCCTGCCTAGCATGCACAAGGCCCAGAGTTCACAAAGAGACTCCTTCCATATTCGACTCCATTTTTATGCAACAACACTACCAATTACATCCTTCCTTTGGTACCCCCTCCCCACCCTTGCCCTTGGCCTTGTAAATGGTGGGGCTCCCCAAGTTCCATTTCCAAACCCCCGTTCTTCACAAGCACTGCACCCCTGGGTAAGCTCACTGCCAATAAATCAAGATCCCACACTACACCTCTGGCGCCTACTGTTCCTTGGAACAATCTGCCTGTGGATCACGTCTTCTACCTGTGTTGCAAGCACTTCAAACTCCACAACTCAGCAGTACCTTCCTAACCCCGCTCCTCCTCACAGGAGAGGTTGTAGCATTGGCAACAGCCATGACCCAAGCCTGTAGGGACTCATCCACGTTCATTCCTCTTTGTCTTTGGTCTCCATTTCAAAGCATCAAGGCTGCTGGGGATATCTGACAAGGGAGTGGACCAAGGCAATGGCCTTGGTCCTAGTGCAGCCCTTAAGCATAGTCAAAAAAAGCTTTGTATCTACATCCCCTCTGAAGGCTCAGGTCTCTTACCAATTCACCAAAGGCAGCAGGTGATGCCTTTTACTAGTTCACAGACGATCTTGCAAAACTCCACAACTGTTTCCCTTCCACCGGATAAAATTTAAGCTTCCTTTCGTAGTATGCAAAATCTTTGATGGATCAGTGATCCCAGCATTCTGGGAGGTAGAAGCAGGAGAGCAGCAAGTTCAAGCCCAGTCTGGGCAACTTAGCATGTAATACCTTGCCTCAAAATAAAAAATAAAGAGCTGGGGATATAGCTCAATGCAAGTCTTGGATTCAATTCCTAATATCCCTCACTTCTATAAAGGTCCTGGATGGGCTTACCCCAATTAACAAATAAGCATGCAGCCACCTTTCCAGATTCCTTTAGGCTTTGCAATCCAGCAGACTAACCTCACGGAGTCCTGTCCTTGGCTTTTGCCCATGCAGCTTCCTTTGCCCGGAATGCGGTCACCTCCATTGTCCCCTTTGAACCCTAGGTCCACTGTGACATCCCCCAGGTAAATAAACCAACTTCTACCAGCTAAATAAACGCCCCTCCCCCAGCTCCTGCTAACAAGGGTGGTCGGCCAATACCCAATTACAAAATGTTTTTGGAGCAAGAATCCTGAGCAACTAGCAAAGCTCAATGCAAGAAGCGTATTCGTTACTCCCTTTGAGAATCGATCCCTCAACGATAAATGAGGGACAATTACGAACTCCCTTGACTCTTCTCCAGTGAAGCCCAGTAAGTCTGGATAGAGTAAACACACATAAAGGCTTAATATGACGTCCAGGGAAGCAGTCAAAGAGACTCTGACCAAAAACCGTAACGAAGAGGCTGCGTATCCTGCAACGACATGGTCTCCTTTAGCCTCAACATCCCCTTTTCTCCGAGGGGGTTAACCACGAAAGCCATCTATGCTAACAATGGCTGAAATGCTTTCAGCACAGTGCTCGGCACAAAAAGAGCTCGCTAATCGTTAGCACCTCAACTGTTAGCAATGACCGTGCGCTGCGCGGATGCGGAGCAGAGCACCCAGGCTGGGCTCCGCAGGCCCGGCGGACTCCCTGGGTTCCTCTCCGAGACTCTCAGTGCGGCGGTCTTCCCCCGCGGCTTGCCCAGCCCCCGCCCGGCCCGCCGCAGGGGAAAAGCTCCCTGGCGGCGGGAAGAGCGGCCTCACGTGCAGCTCCGGGCATGCGCCGAGGGGCGCTCCGGATACTCACTGAGCCACAGCTCCAGCGCTGCCGCCGACCCCGGGGGACCCTCAGACGACTCGGACCCCGCCGAGGCCCCGGTTCCTGCAGCCACCGCGGTCGCAGCCATCTGCCCCACCCCGCCGCGCCACTGTAGCAACAGCGGCCTCAGATTCTAGCTGCAGCAGCCGCGGCCTGCTGCGCTCCGGGGATGCCGACGCGGCAGGCGCGCGCTGGCACGTATCCCGGGGCGGGGCCAGCGAGGACACGCCCATCTCAGGCCCCGCCTTCGCGCCGCCCAGAGGCGGAAAGTTTACTCTGGCTGACCTGATCTTGTTACCCAAAACCAGTGGCAAAGCCTGGGCGAATTAAATTAATTTAGCAAAGTTTGAGTTCACTTCTTGTTTGAGAAATTGAGATAAGTATAGGCCGCTCAATTAAATCTAAATTGCAGCTAAAGAATCATTGTTGCGGGGCTAGGGATTTAGTTCAGCGGCATAAGCGCCTGCCTTGCAAACAGGCAGTCGTGGGTTCGATCCCTGGTACCGATAAAAAGAAAAAGAAGAAATTAAAAAGAATCATTCTTGCTGGGCGCAAGTGTAATCTTTGCACTCGTGAGGCTGAGGCAAGAGGATCCCTGTGAGTTGGACTACGTAGGGAGACCATTAAAAAAAAAAAAGCGGGGGCTGGGGATTTAACTCAGCGGCATAAACACTTGCCTTGCAAGCAGGTGGTCGTGAGTTCGATCCCTGGTACCGATTTAAAAAAAAAAAAAAAAAAAAAACATTCGCAACTTCCCTCCATATTGTTTTTTCTGTAATGCATCATACCGTAAACTTACCAGAAGCCCGCTTATTTTGTGAAACGATACTTTTCCCCCAAATCAGTTCATGATTCTCTTGCACAACTAAATAAACACGTGTTGAATATTTAACTCTTTAAATCCAGAAGCCATGTAAATGTTTTTGTTTTTGTTGTCTTTTTCATTTTTATCGGTACCAAGGATCAAACTCACGACCGCCTGCTTGCAAGGCAGGTGCTTATGCCGCTGGGCTAAATCCCCAGCCCCCTCAAGTAAATGTTTTGATCTGTCCACAAGATAGCTGGCATAGATGGCATGCCCGTAATCCCAGCATTTGGGAGGCTGAGGAAGGAGGATCATGGCGAGTTGGAGGCCGGCGTGGGTTACAAGAGTTCAACACCAGCCTGACCTACATTGCGAGAAACTAACTATATCTACCCCAGCCCCATATCTATCCACAAGAGAAATCAAAGGACAAATTTATATGGAATAAAGGATTGTTGAAACAAATGTACAAATTTCCACCAACAGACAGAATTAATTTGCATATCTACAGACAATGAATTTGCATGGCTGTCAATTATCAATTTATAATGTGCTAAGACTAACCTAAGCAGGTCCCTTAATTCCTAACGCCTTTAATAGCACACCAGACCTCATAAGTATTTGTTGAATCAACGAATGAATAGTGGAAGCATTAAGAGGGACCTATCGGACTTCAGACCAATCAGTACCTCCAAAAACACAAAATTTAAAAGGACAATTCCTAGTGTGGTACTTCACAGCTACAAATTCCAGCTCTTCAAGAAGCTGAAGAAGTAAGATTATGTAAGTTTGAGCGCAACCTGGACAATTTAGACCCTGTCTCAAAATAAAAAATTAAAAGGAATAGGAAATGCTGCTTAGTGCAAATGTTCAGGGTTCCACTTCTGTTACCACACACACAGGACTAGTCACACACATCCCTATCTGACAGACTACTGACTACCTTCTGATACTGGAAATTACAAAACTGTGCTGAATGACAAGTGACCAGACTGCTAATTGGTGCCAGGCTCTATCCTACACTTTTCACAATTGTTATTTGTCTTAGTCAACTCAAGCTATCACAAACTACCATACACAAAGTGTCTTTAAAATCTGACATTTCTCTCTTGGTTCTAGAGGCTGGGAAGTCCAAGGTCAAAATGCCAGCAGATTGGTTCCTGGTGAGGGTGCTTCTGGACAGGAGGTGTCCTAATGTCTTGCTGTATTCTGACTTGGTAGAGAGGTAGAAGGGATCCCTCTGGTCCCTTTCTTTTTTTAGAACATTAATCTCAGGGCTGGAGACTTAGCTCAGCAGCATAAGCACCTGCCTTGCAAGCAGGCAGTCATGAGTTCGATCCCAGGTACCGATTTAAAAAAAAAAAAAAAAAAAAAAAAAAAGAACAGTAATCTCATCGCAGAAACCATACCATCAGGACCTCATCTAAACCTAGTCACATCCCAAAGGACCTACCTCTAAGTAGATTGGTCACACTTGGGGTTAGGGTTTCAACAGATTAGTTTGGATACAGGATGATCAGTCCATAGTATCTTCCATGTAGGGGAAATTCTGTACTTTACTGAAATTTTGTGCTGTCTACAGCACTCTTCCTTTTGGAAATAATTTTATATCTCTGTAAACTATAGATAACTGACAGCAATGGAAAATTATTTTTATCCATAGATTATGCAAATTAATACTGTCCTGGGAACATACAACCCTCTTCCTATGAGGAAAGAAAGTTTTATTTCTATTTGCATATCTATTCTAGTATTCTTGATTTATAAACTGTTCTTTAGATTCTCCTTTGTTTTGCTTTTCCTGTGTTGGTAATTGAATCCAGTATCACTCTACCACTGAGCTACATCCCTAGCCTTTCAAATTTTGAGACAAGTTCTTGCCAAATAGCCTACACTGGCCTTGAATTTGTGATCCTCTTGTCTCAGCCTCCTGAATAGCAAAGGTTATAGATACACTCTTACCATTACCATTTCAGGTCCAGACCTTAGTTTCCAACACCATTTTTCAAAAGGAGCCGAGACTAGACAAATAGACTTGGGCAAGAAATGTAGATGGTACACCCTCATTTTTATAGTGCTAGGAAATAAGGAATTACTTTTATTTTTAAGAGAATGTATTTATTGAGAGAAAGCAAGCTTCTGTCCAAGAGAGAAACAGAAGGGGTCCCAAGTGGGTTGCCCAGGAATTACTAAATAAAAACAAAAATAAAAAATTGATGGCAGAAAGCCATATTACTTTGAAACCATGTAAGGGCTGGTGGCCTGAGGAACTGTCTGTACCTGGGACCAATGATTTTTTTCTTTTTTTTTTTTTTTTTTTTTTTTGGACCAGTGATTCTTTGTGTGGCCAGCTAAAGCCCTTTTCGTTGTGTCATGATTGATAGACATGAATTAAATATCATTCCACTGGACTCTCTGATTGGTGAATGATGATGTATTATAAGAATGTTGGGGCCAGGGATTTAGCTCAGTGGCATGAGTGCCTGCCTGGCAAGCGCTAGGCTGTGAGTTTGATCCCTGCTACCAAAAGAAAAAAGAAAAAAAAGAAAACAAACTGTAAAAATTATAAGGGGCTGGGGATTTAGCTCAGCGGCATAAGCACCTGCCTTGCAAGCAGGCGGTCGTGAGTTCGATCCCCGGTACCAATAAAAATGAAAAAGACAAAAAAAAAAAAAAATGTCTTGGGAAAATGATATTTAACAATAGAGAGGGATAAGACCAGAAAGGCAGGGCATTTCCTGCTGACCCTGAACTTGACAATAGAGGAGAGATCTTGATTCTGGGTTGTTTTTTGTGTTTTTAGCTGGTGCTCCCTTGTGCAGGTCTTGAAAAGGGTGATCCTGCTTGGATGGACTAAGGCAATGGCAGTGAACCTATGGCACCTGGGTTGCTGCAGCTCTTTGTTATCACTGAAACCTCTAAAAGATTTGCCATCAATTCCAGCTAAGGCAGTAGGATTGAAAGTGCAAGACCAGCCTGGGTAACTTTGCAAGATTCTATCCCCAAATAAAAATAAAAGAGTCCAGTGTGGTGGCGCAGGCCTATAATTTCAGCATTCAGGAGGTTGAGGCAAGAGGACTGCGTGAGTTCAAGGCCGGTCTGAATTGCAAAGTGAGACCCTGTCTCAATAAATAAATACAAATAAATAAAAAGGACTAGAGATGTAATTTAGTGGTGAGCAAGTGCCTAAGTATAAGGACTTGCATACAATTTCTAGCATTGCAAAAGAAAAACAAACAAATGGGGGAAAAGTGTCAAACCTCCCAAGCAATTTCTGTAGCTACTGCCTTCTCAAAATGGAAGAACCTAACTCTTCTTTCTTTAAGCGTGGCGACGACTTCCTCCTAGTACAGCATGGAAGGGGGCAGGGAGAACTGGACAGTAACTTTACAGTGGAGAAACTGACAAGCACTTCCTCAGTTTGGGGATCAGGATTAGCAACAGTGATAACCCACGGTCTTCCACGTTCACAGCCCCAGTCATGAGAAAAACATCAGATTAATCCAAATAGAAGGGCATTCTACAAAATACTTTGCCAGTATTTCTCAAAACTGCCCAGGTTGTCACATATAATGGGAATCAGCTGGGTGTGGTGGTGCCCTCTGTTAGGTCTGAGAAGAGGGGGAAGAAGAGGAGAAGGAAGGGAAAGAGGTCCGTGGAAGGAGTGGAGTGGACCGCCATGAAACAAGTGGGCGGCGGTGGCTGCAAAGATAAGAAATATAAAATATAAGTAACCTTTATTTCGGGAATGCAGGGAGAGACCCCCCCCTCGGCCCCCGGGGCGCAGCATCTCCACCCCAGGGCCGGTGGTCTCTCTCTGGAACACACTCTCCCTTTCTCCTTCTTCTCTTCTTCTCTAACACATGGAGTGAGGCCCATAAGTAACCTCTGTCTGGGGTGGACCCCAAGGGGCATTAGGGATGCACAGGTATTTCATTGGCACACGTTTGGCGCCAGGGTTACAGGGATGGGGGTATAGGGTTACAGGCAAATCTATAGGGGCGGGGGAGGCAGGAGCCCCCTAACTTGGCTGAGGCTTTTCCTGGTTAAAGTGTTCGGTCTGGGCCAGCAACTCTTCAACGTCATCCTAATAGAATAACAGGTCTAAATCAAAGACACCTTTCCCTCTACCTCACTTGGGTCCATAAATATGACAGTGCCATGTCTCCTCATAACATCTTGTCTCTTTGTTTTTTCCAGTCTAACATACGTGCATTCACCAGTGAAGTTGTCCTGGCTAAAACACCTAACATCAGCGTCTACCTGGGCATCAACCTTCATCCCGTCGACTCCCCTAGACCCCAATACAGCGCCCTCAGCCAGCAGGAAATAGTTACACAGAGAAATCTTCGCCCCTTTTCCTAATAATCATAAGACGGGATATGAAAGAGTTGCTGGC